GTTAGGCTCGGAGTTTCAATGCTTTTCTTCACTTTGTCTGAGGGAGAATTTCGAATATCAAAAGTCTGGTCTCAGGGCGAGAGGAAACTCGGGCTACGGGAAATAACGAGAGGAATCGGCTTAAATTTACGAAGGAAAGAAGTTAAGAAGCCAGAGGAAACTCGCCCACACCAGACATCTATCCGTCAAAATGTCTAAAGTATGGTGTCAGGGCAAGAGGAAACTCGCCCACACCACCATCTATCTGTAAAAATGTCTAAAGTATGGTGTCAGGGCCAGAGGAAACTCGCCCACACCAGACATCTATCTGTCAAAATGTCTAAAGTATGGTGTCAGGGCCAGAGGAAATTCGGGCTATCTGTCAAAATGTCTAAAGTATGTTGTCAGGGCCAGAGGAAACTCGGGCTATCTGTCAAAATGTCTAAAGTATGTTGTCAGGGCCAGGGGAAACTCGGGCTATCTGTCAAAAGTCTTAAGTATAGTGTCAGAGTCAGAGAAAACTCGCCCACACCAGACATCTATCCGTCAAAATGTCTAAAGTATTGTATCAAGGTCATAGGAAACTCTCCCACACCAGATATCTATCCGTCAAAATGTCTAAAGTATGGTGTCAGAGTCAGAGGAAACTCTCCCACACCAACATCTATCCGTCAAAATGTCTAAAGTATGGTGTCAGGGCCAGAGGAAACTCGCCCACACCACCATCTATCTGTCGAAATGTCTAAAGTATTGTGTCGGGGCCAGAGGAAACTCGCCCACACCACCATCTATCTGTCAAAATGTCTAAAGTATGGTGTCAGGGCCAGAGAAAACTCGCTCACACTACCATCTATCTGTCAAAATGTCTAAAGTATGGTGTCAGGGCCAGAGTAAACTCTCCCACACCAACATCTATCCGTCAAAATGTCTAAAGAATGGTGTCAGGGCCAGAGAAAACTCACTCACACTACCATCTATCTGTCAAAATGTCTAAAGTATTGTGTCGGGGCCAGAGGAAACTCGCCCACACCACCATCTATCTGTCGAAATGTCTAAAGTATGTTGTCAAGGTCATAGGAAACTCTCCCACACCAGACATCTATCCGTCAAAATGTCTAAAGTATGGTGTCAGGGCCAGAGAAAACTCGGGCTATCTTTCCAGTTTTATTGATTTTATTCTTTCTTCATACGACCAGCCCATCATTCCTTGAATTTCTTCATTAGCTCTTTGTCGTACATCCTCTAGTTTTTCCTGTACATTTTGTGCATTCTCTGGGTTTGGCAAAACTGAAGCTTTGAATTAAAGAAATAAACAATCAACATCAACTTTTTCGTCTGGGACATATTTGTATTTCAGGTAAACGTGTTCGCTTGGATTATTGCCTATTTTAGCACTAAGCAATTGTCTGGATTGAACATCGCTAACCATATGTCAGAACAAAATTGTAATCTATCCTGATCTTTGGCAGGTTGATATTGTTAGCTCTGTTATGTATTTTTGCATCATCGGCGAAGAGGAATGATTCAGTGCGATACAACCTAGTAAATAATTTATATTAATGACAAACCGCGAGGGTTTGAGGACACGTCCTTCGGAATTCCACTTGTAACTTCTGTCGGTTTAGATTTTCACTATTTATATATACCAACACTCGTTTCGTTTCAATCTGTTATAAATTCCTGTAAAACCTTGTATTTCCTTGAAGAATCCACATTTTCATTTTCCGCAATAGCTACATATGTGTGGTTCGTATTGAAGTCGTTTTTGAGAGGATTTCCTTTCACAGTTTAGGTTTTTATATGACCTTTATACGTAAGTACTATACCGCGTCTCGGAATTCTGCAAAAGAAAATATGTATTTTTAATACCCAAAATTAGAAATGTTATTATATCGCAATGCGGACAGTATGATTTTAATGTTACATGACAACAGTGAGTAAACAACACTGACACAACTATAGTAAACAGGTTAAGGCCAAACAAAATATATTTTCTGTTTCAGAAAACCCTACCTACCCTAATTTTTGTGCCTACTCCAAACTTTTAAGAAGCGCTGTTAAAGTCAAGATCACTCTCCTATATAAACCTTTTAAAATTATTTAAAAAATAATAGAAAATTGTTTCCTACCTACTTAGCCGCATTTTTTATTCAAAAATGTTCTGGATTGTTAGGCCTTACATTGTTGTCTTAGCATTTCAAGACAGGAAAATGCCAACGGCAAATGCGTATAAACATGCAAAGTATTTATAACGGGGAAAATATAAAGAGAATTAAAAACATATAAAAACACACTGCAATAAACAAAAGCCAAAAACACAATCCTCCAAAATAGCACGTCAAGCATAATAATTGACAGCATGTACCATGAGTCAACACTAGAATATGCCGCTGTAACAGTGATGGGGCTAACACAAATAATGGTACGAGACGGTTACTATATATTCATGTTATGTAAACAAAAGTTTTAGTCTGAGTCAGTCTTTAAATGCGATTATTTGACCTGGATTATTTCCAAAACAAAATGTCTGATTTATTTTTAGATATCGTTAAATATTTCTCATGGTTAGGAATTTACCTAAGACTTGTACTGTTGTACTGGTATGATCCCCACACGCTCTGACCGCACGCGTGCATTGGTAAATTGATACCTATGCGGAGTAGTCTCCCCTGGCTACTGCAGCTGAATCGCTGCCAACAGTAGATCAAGGATAAATGGAGGATATGGAGGAACAGCTAGAGGACTCGGATATGGAACAGTTAACACTGGTGAGTTACTGAAACTATGATTGGTTATCTAGATATGTATTACCAAGATACGTAAGAAAGTTGTTTTGAAAACACCAACAAATATTGAACATGTTGCCCATGTCCAAGTAATTACGTATGTCAGAAGTATTCCAAGCACGGTGTGTAAGATGCTGACTCCTCTAAAGTCAGAAACACACTACGCAGTTGCAGCGAGAAACGGTGAGGCATGATCACGTGTGAGGAAAGATCAAATGTGTTTTGTTATTGTTTACGTTTTATTAACACGCGCTTTTCTTGTGAGCACGTACTGACTAATACATACCTAGCACGTGAAACGTAATTCCTCCGTTTCATCACCCATACATGATTTTGACAGGCACGTTCCATATTCTTAACATGCAATGTTACACAGACCCTGTAATCAGGAGGTTGGGTTAAATGTTCTTATGATTTCAACAAAACATATGGTAAAGTAAATTCTGTAGAAAAGTAATTCTTTAATAATAAATTGCAATAGTCATTCTCGAGACAAAACTAATGCGTATGTAATCGCGGAAAGAAATGTACATACATTAGCTGTGGCGGATATCAGTCTGACCATATTTTGGGATGACCTTGTCAGACCACGGGTGGTCATTCCACTGTGAATTATAACAGTGCAGCATAGTAGCGATGAAACCGTACACCATACTGGTAGTCAATGATGTAACAGCTTGTCAGCATATAGTTACTGTTGAAACAGTACACCGTAGTCAGTATTCCGGAGACTTCATTTACCGACCAGGGCCCCTTTCGCGTATCCGTTTCAACCGGTTAGTCTGTTTTTAAATGTAACATGTTCGGGTATATGCAGGCATTGGAGGCAGCGAACAACTCAGGTTCGAACGGTCCGTTTGGATCGCGATAAACGAATATTGCCCTGTGATATTTCATTAAAACTTCGAATAGGTAGAGTTCATAAAGGGGTCTGAATTAAGCCTCTCTTTTTTTGCCAGTTTATATTTAAAATGTATTGGGTGATAGTTTAAACCGTAATGGGCGTGCAATTGAATATGGTCATAACACAAAACTCGTACGCAGGTATTCCGTCTTTGCGTATTGCAGAGTTATCTTCTCTTGTGAGCAGGTATTGATTGTTACGTCATTGGTTTGTGTGAGAAAATTACGTCGTTTTCTCAAAAATTGATGACGTTACTCTCACAAATAAATGACGTAACAATCAATTCCTGCTAACAAGTGCAGATAACTCTGCAATACGAAAAGGCGTACAACTTAAATCTGCCAATATGTATTTGTCATTGGCGGTATAACTGTCTTACTCAAATATTCAGCGATATAATTGTCTTTCGTAGGTTATCGGTGGTGTCAATGTCTTGCTCAAACTATCGGCGATATAATTTAATCCGAGATCGACTCTCTTCGTAATTTTTAAAGCGATAAGGTGACATATTGAATCTGCCCGATGGTACATATGGTGCAAGGTTTAGAAGATATGGACGAAACGTATTTGTTTATTCGTACAGTATTGCGGTTTGCATTCTTTTTTCTTCTTCTAATACTAATTGAAAAGCAGACTTGGATATGATATGCTCAAATTTATTTATCTTTTTCATTTGATAATATTAAATTGAATGATCAAGCATACATAGAATGACACTGCAGAGTGTCTACTAGATGCCAATTAAATGATTTGTGACTTTAATAAACATTATTAATCAAATTTTAAATTTAAAAATTTAATCATAAAAATATTAGATTTAAAGACTCTTTTCTTTGATTACTGCCACATTCTTGTTGTTGTTTTTCATCTGACAGAAAAAAAAATGAATAAATGAAAAATTAAGAAATAAAAAATATAAGGATCTTTATTTGCTTTTTATGTTGTTTCCTCTTTTGTCTATTTATCAGAGGTGAATGGGGATATTTTTTTTAATAGCTCTGTGAATGTATTTCGTCTTTCATCAGAGTTAAGTAAGCAATATATATGAGCAATAAGTAACTCGCAGGAAGAGGTCAAGTTTACATTTACCTCAGTGTATAAACAACTTGTTGAATGAGATGTATTGCATGTAATATCTTTATAGACTTTCAGCCACGGCTGTGTTTCTTTGTTCGTAGCTATGGTACATGGCTGGTTGCCAAAGACGCATATATCGGATACAAACACGGATATATGTAGGATATTTTTGAGGTCAAATATGAAATTAGGTCGAAGTGCTGCTGTCCCCTATGTAAACTGTGACATGAACTTTTCCATCAGCTACACCCAGACAAATGACGTTCTTGTTTATCAGAGCTTTACAGAGCGTAGAAAAGTGAAGTGCACGCGGGTACGCGAACATGATATACAAACCCGTGTAAGAGCACGCACAGGGCAGTGCACGTAGACTAGCGTAGTAGAGCGTAGTAGGTTATAGATAGTCGGTATGCTGTCTTCAGATCTCCATAATGTGAGTACTTAAATGTTGAATTTAAACCTTTATTTATTCTCTTAAGTTTGCTTAATCATACATCTTAATCAAAACATTGTTTTGTTGATTTGTTGTAAAACATCAAAAGTACATCAGCAGCATCCTGCATTACTACGCTCGCACAATTGTGAAAAATATTGCGCAAAATAATATGGCCGTATATATACAGCGCTTTGTCCTTTTGTTCAATAATGTAGATAACTTAGAGTGTTTTATTGGCTTATTTATCAATTAATGTTATCTAGAATGTTTCTTAACATTTACTTCAGGCTGATTTATACAGATTGTAGACAAATTCATATAGCACAACAAATGAAATACTCATGTGTGACGTTTCCATTACTAGTACGATATGTGTTTTTGTCAAAGCGTAGCCGAATGTGTTCCAAACGCACAGTAGTTATCGATATATTTCGTCAGTACGGACCATAACTCACGACAAAAACACTTAGAATGAAAGCTCTGATTTGTGATACGTTCCTGATTATTTGGTTTGGGGTTTGTCTTTGCACTAGCAACGGTCATATGAGGTCGATATTCAATGTGTATGTAGTTGAATCCTTCTACGGTGTATAGTGCGAACCTACTGGAATGTCTCACCATGGAAACGAGACTACACTGAGACTTCCGCTCTGAGATATGTTTAACCAAGACCGTCCAACGCAGATTTGTTAAGTGAATAAGAATGGGAAGTATTCATTAGTAGCTTCATTTAATCATTTTACTTAGTGCCATTTAACCTCTTAATACTTTCAGTATCTCCGACTGTTTGGCTTCGAAAAAAGCGCAGAACCGGAACCGGTGGAAGCGGAGGAAGAGTATGGCTGGGCTCAACTTCCCGACATTCTATTGGAGGACATCTTCGCCTTGTTGACACCCAAAGCCCGCCACCAGGCGTCGCGTGTGTGTAAGTCGTGGTATAAAACCTTTTATTCGCCGCGCGTCTGGGAGACATTTATTTTCGAGGATGGAACTCTCACAAAGAGGCGTTACAACTTGTTCAAAGGGTTCACACGTGAGCTGTGTCCCAGGAAATCTCAAAACTGTTTCAATAATGTCGGGTCTCTTTTCAAGAAAATCATTGTTTCTCCGATACTTAACTTTTATAATTTGCTCTTCTTGGGTGTCCTCAGCTCATTCCTGTCCTTCTATGAAGAGTTCCCGATACCCATGCTGCACACGTTTCAGTTTACGTTCGCGTGTGAAAGTCGTGGCATCAATGGTAACCTGATATACGGAACTGGCGGACAGATCCTTCAAGAGCTCAACACACTGATCGGCTGTATGAAGAACCTGAAAACATTGAGTATCAACCAGCTCCTGCTCGCCGAGGAGGATGTGTCTGGTTTGTTTGAGGCTGCGCTTAAGTACAATGGCGAGTCTGTTCGGTTCCTTGAGATCATAAACTGTGCAAAAGCTGACACTCCAATTCCACAGTTAGCGAGGTTCGACTCTCTGCAGCGACTTACGGTCAGTCACCAACATGTCGATGACGAGGTGGCAGTTCTTCTATCGGGGACCGGGCTCTCTGACCTTCGTCTAGTCCAGGATCAATACACATGCGCCACACAGCCTGTTTCAGCCGACGCCTGGCGCATCATCAAAGAGATTGCGCCATATCTAAAGGTGACACTTGAAGTACGTGGAAAGTGTAAAAATACGTTGTTACTTCAACCGCACGCACCCGTGGTCAGTATCGTTTTCGACACGCCCCACTCCAAGATATCGCATGGCGCGGCCATGGACATTGTCCACTTCTACAGGAAGACACTGGAAGTGTTTATCCAAAAGGGCATCCCCCGTGTCCACGGCCCAAGATCATTCCATGAAAGGGGGGATTCTTCTTTCGTCATGTTAGTTAAACATTGTCCGAAGCTCAAAACCCTCATCATCAATGAACGGATATCAACAGCAACAGTGCTCTTGCTTTCGCACGAGGGCAGATCATTGAAGACCTTCATCGTACGGACAAATGCCATTATCAAGCGGTCGGACTGGCCTCGGGATCGAGAGTGGTCTGAGGAATTTTATACGAAACTGAGAACAAATGCGCGCTGTTATGATCGGATGTCAAACGAGGTTGCGCAGAAACACGAGTGGAAATGGCGTCCTTTGTCAGACAGAGAGTTTAAGCAGATGGTTTAGATTTGATTGTACATAGGAACTCTCATACACGAATGCTTATGAGATTATTTTTGTATTGTGCAATACGCGTTTGATCGTTTACACTTTTATACACCTTGTTCTATATTACTCACAAATCTATTTACATCCCGTTACATTGATGTTATCAGTATCTGTACGATACGGTGTTATCAAACATCAACCTGACTTCTCTGTCTTGTCCGATATTTTAAAAAAGAATCTGTATACAAATGCACTCTTTACTTTGCGTTAAGACCGCGTATCAAATGGCATCGCTATTATGATTTCTGTAAGTACTATACAGATGGCTGTGTTACTGACTCCTCGTGAACATTTATTTGCATGTGATGTTGTAACAAGTTTTGTTATCCATGGAATCATGTCCTCTACAATATTGTACCCTGTCGTTTTGATAAAAATGCAATCTTTAACACGACGTGGATTGTTTTATTTTAGGATACCTGAGCTTTGCTCAAGTGACCTATTCCGATCACTTTCCGTTCGTCGTCGTGCGTCGTCCGTCGTGCGTCGTCCGTCGAGCGTAAACTTTTTACATTTTCAACTTCTTCTTACGAATCAGTTGATGGATTTTTTCAAACCTGGTCAGAATCATCCTTGGTAGATGAGGCTACAAAATTGTAAGATTTGGATTCCTGCCCCAACCCCTGGGTGCCAGTGTGGTGCTCCAAAGGGAAAATTAAACAATATTTCAAAAATCTTCTTCTCCAGACTCAGAGGTACTACAGCCATTTCCTCTGCATGGATGGAAAGATCATCAGGGACTTCATTTAAATTGTAAATTTCAGGACCCCCGGGCCATCCCTTCTCCCTGTGGGAGGGGGCAAAGTTTACTATAGTTTATATAGGGAAACAACACTTTTGGGTATATTTATACAATTTTCTGTAGGAAATTATTCTTATTTGGTGAGAATTATCCTCGGAGGAAGATGGTTTAAAATGTTAAATTGGGCCCCAAAGCACCGATGAGTCCTAACAGACGAAACAGCCGTATGATGCAGTGTAATTCATTTTTCATCTAATCGAAGATGTTTACAATTAAATTTAAGATATATTTTAGTATTAAGAGATAAGCGCAGTTATTTGAATATATATTCTGTACAACGATGCTATGATATTGCATTAACAAAACAGTTGAAACACACACTTACAATATAGCAAAATTGTAAAGCGTTGGAGAAGCATGGGTTTGTAGCACTGCGAATTTTGGTGTGCTTACTCCAACCACTTCATCCTAACCTTTTTTTTTTTTTTTTTTGAAGACCTGTCGAAAATATTTTTGGAATGCATCGTTAAAATTTCTGACGACATATTATCCGTTCGTATCAATATATCTTGGCACTAACGAATGAAGCACAGACATAGAAATGTACCTAGAAAATACGTTAAAAATCGTAAAAACTAAATCAAATATTTTGAGTGCCAGATGGAGCAACTTCCAAAAAGAACGTGGTTATAACTCAGTATTTAAATTGGACTAAACTTGACAAAAGAAAGTGGTTATAACTCAGTTTTAAATAAAGGCTAAACTTGAAAAAGAACGTGGCTAATTCGGTTTTTAATGTAGGCTAAACTTGATAAAAAACATTGTTATAACTCAGTATTAAAAGTAGTCTAAACTTGAAATAGAATTTGGGGATGACTCGGTGGTTATGACTCTGTATAAAAAGTACTCTGAACGTGACAAAGAACGTGACTTTGACCCAGTTTCTAATGTAGGCTAAACTTAAAATGGAATACGGTGAGTCTCATTGGTATGATGATTTATCTTATGTAAACCATATCTGACGTACAACTTATATTAGCGATGCAGTAATATGTTAGCATACTTGACAATAAAATCCGTGATGTTTAATTCAGATGTAGCATACACTTAATGAAACTGGTTATGTTCCCGAAAGAAGATACACAATTGAAAAAGAGGCATAGACGATTCACTATTTTCAATTCATTCATTCTCAGCTACTGAACACGGGTAAAATTGAATTGCTAACATTTATCGTACGTTGGACTTGTCAAGATATCAATTATAACACTTAACCTGGTCCAATTGTTTATGCTCGGCAAGATATTAAAATAAAAACAATGTTGATAATTCTAAGGATTTCCTGTCCTACTGCAGGCAAAACGCTAGAGAGTTCCACGGCGGGTTTTTTTCGTTGTACAGTGACCTCCCCTTAGTTTTATTTTGAATGTACCTGTGACGGAGTTAAGCCAAGAACTTCCGTCGATCAGGTAGTTCATTTGGTTAGAGCGACCGTTAAACAATATGAGGTTCAGGGTTCGAATCCTGATCTAGCCTCGCTGAAATTTTACACTCAGAGCACTATTTATTGATAATACAGCATTTAGTTTATTTCATCTGTATTATTTTTTTCATAACAAAATCTGCAAGATAAGGTTTTAGTTTTAAGAAACGATTTATTAAAAATGCGTACAGAAACACCCACCTAGTTACATTTAAATTTGACAGCGGTACAGGGATCGTTATGAGTATATCACAGAGTCAACACACATGGGCAAAAACCTGGGATAACACTTAAAAGTATCACTGAACGTGCCATCTTCTTGGTGAAACGAGTTGACTGAGTAACAGAATTCTGCATACCTCCGATCTCAGAGTGACGTTTAGATGGAGACGAACCAAAGATTGACAATAGAAACAGAGGGGACAACAAAACAAACCGAGAGCAAGACACACAACAAAATAAGGTACCGCGGAACAGATCAGTGTTGAAGTCGATGGAAGATTTTATTTTATATACAAGGAAGAAGTTTACGTAATGCTCTATAGTAATATTGGTCCTGAACATGGACGTTTGAACCCGAAAAGCGATCCCAACTAAGCATTAAACTATAGTGTATAAAGTTTCAGTGTTACTGACCAACGAGACATGAAAATATTAAGAAAACAATTATAGTAATAATGACTTTAGCCTTTGACCTCCAGACCTGGTAAACATTCCAAACAAGCACTTTCGATAAAAAAGCAGTGTATGAAGTTTGAGTGTATTCGAGTGATGGCAAGTCTTTATTGAGCAGAAGTATATGATAGGAGTGACTTTGACCTATAGCCTTCGGTCTTGTACATGTAGCAATAATCCCAAGCAAACACTCTCGATAAAGTTCTAGTAATAGCATCAACGCACATGACTTAGGAATTGGGACCTGGAACGCAATCCCAAGAAGGCACTTCCCGTAAACAAACAATGTATGAAGTAGTAAGCATTGCATGAAGAAGTAAATGAAGAAGTAAGCATTGTATGAAGAAGTAAGCAATGTATAAAGAAGTAAGCATTGTATGAAGAAATAAGCATTGTATGAAGAAGTAAGCAATGTATGAAGAAGTAAGCATTGTATGAAGAAGTAAGCAATGTATGAAGAAGTAAGCAATGTATGAAGAAGTAAGCATTTTATGAAGAAGTAAGCATTGTATGAAGAAGTAAGCATTGTATGAAGAAGTAAGCAATGTATGAAGAAGTAAGCAATGCATGAAGTTTGAGGTAGACTGACCCGCGAGAGATTAATTTTTAATGTGCAGAATCCGATTTTTCTATTTATTGAATTAATTACCTTGACCTTTCACTTTCCAACCTGTAAAGCAATCCCAAGCAAGTCCTTTCTTTGAGAAGCACTATATGAAGTTAGGGTAGATTAAGTGATCAAGATCTCAGGTTATTTTGCACAAAGGGTGGACGGACGAACGGTTAGACGGACGTGATTAAAATATCCTATCTTCATCTGATGTGGGTGTGGGTGGGTAGAGGGCGAGGGGGTGGGTAACAAAAGCAATACTGTTTGGTCCATAAGCATCCCGCTTTGAAGCACATGCTGTATCAGGATATCAAGCCACAGGACTCTGAGGAGCAGAAACCATTTAACTCATGATTTTGGTTTGTCATTAGCAATGAATGCTTAGAAGTAATTATTGAAATCGATACAAGAGCAGTGGTTTTTGAGAAGAAGCCAAAAATGTGATTTTTTTACGGAGCATGGCGGATTAAAGGCGATCCTGAGGTCGTATTAAGTCAAAGAGACTTTGTTAAAGATGACCAAAAACGGGTCTTACTGATTGCTTCCAATGAAAACAAATTACCAATTATGCAGATTGGTCCAGTGGTAAACACTCTGGCCTTCCACGCAGGCGGTCGGGGTTCGATCCCCGAAGACGTCGTACGCATCGATATTCCAAGAAAGTGTTTTTCTTCTGCCCACACAACTCCGACAACCCATGTTGAGTATAAATTGTTCTGTGGTGGACGTTGCGGTATATGTGCTGTAGCATTCAGGTGAGGGAATGATGTCGTTGGAAGCACGATCCCACTACAAACAGAACACATTACATCTCCAGCACACACGCAGGCATATACACATAGGGATATATTAGCCAGGTGGCATAGGGCTAGTAGACGGCGCCTGATAAGAGAGCTACTGCGATTTCCTCAAAATTGTATTGATTAATTTATATGCTAATCGTATTGATTGTATATCTATGTACTGTAAAGCACTTTAGAGTGGCTTATGTTAGCTAGATAGGGCGCTATATCAAATGTTGTAGATTATTATTATGATGTGACACAGATATCAACTCAAATATTTATAAACCCTGATCAAGTCGTGTTTTATCATCGATCTGTCCTGGAGGTATAAGGCCCACTACCTTCGCGTATGCGGTTCAACCGGTTTGTCTTTTTTTTAATGTAATATTTTCGGGTATAATCCTGGCGGACCTGCAGATGTTTATGAGCCTTGCAAGGCTTTGTCAGACTCGCCTGAAAGTAGCATAAGATTTTTAGGTCCGACCTCAGCATTTCATAAACGAACAACTTTGGTCCAACCGGTCCAACCGTTTGGATCGCGATAGGCGAATTCGGCCCTAACATAATCATGTTTAAACTGTGTTAAGGATGTACACCACTGAGAAGTCAAAAAAATCCTGTATTAAACTTTTTTTCTTATATGGATTTTTGGAAAAAGGAATAAATGGCATAGTAGAAAACGCAAAAAAAACTATATGTCCGTGTGTTCGTTTTTGTGCTATATCGGTCAAAGATACCAATTTAACACAACATGTGGTTTTAGGTGATTTTTTGGGTTTTGACCATTTGCAGAACAATTCATACACTTTCTTCTAAGTGTGTTATCAGATATGTATGAATGTTTGTAGAATTGATTGAAATATTATTTTCTTTTAAATTATGGAAGTAAAATTTCTTAATCTTATTCTTTTAACTCAGAAAGCCGATTTTAGTTACCCCTACCCCCTATTTTTAATGATAAAATACTAATTTATTTTTACCATTTTTCGCAGATTAAACGCTTGATATAAAAAGTTCTGCTATTAAACTTTTTTTAAATATTTAATGACTTAAAAGAAAATGCGTTTCTCTTTCCAAAACATCCACAAAAATGAAGGGTCCGTGTGCTTCTTATTTTGTCCCATTATCATTTGTGTTATCTTTTTACCTTTTTCGGGGTCAAAAATCAAAAGTGCTTCAGTTACACTAAATATGTAAAATAAATATCAATAATGTATAATTTTCCAGTTTGTTGCATATTATTTTTATCATATTAGACATTATAAAGTTGTACAGCAAAATTGAACCTGCTTCAATTAAAAACGGCGACACAATGACAATTTAAGTGATCAATCTAGTGTCAAAAAAGGTGAATTTTTTGCCGTTTTTGAAGCGCAAGAAATACACATTAACACACATTTTCAAAATGGCCGCCGAATTGGTATTTTTTTTAAATTCTTGTAAAAATAGTTCTACAAACAACAGGCATCTAGTTTTTTGACATATTTTTCAGATGCGTGTTTGCTAATAAACTTGATCATAATTTGGTAAGTATTACAAAAACCCGTTACACCAGATAAAAACGAGACTTGAACGTGATTGAAACCTCAGAAGAGTACATCCTTAAAAGTCTATAGAAAATATACCACAGTGTCAACAATCAAGAACAAAATCGGAAACCAAAAACAACAAAATTGGTTGAGGAAGCCACAAAACAAAAGGAAACACACACACACACAAACCGCGGGAGCAAAATCTTATTTGTCCTTCAAGCATTTCCTGCACCACATGTTTACCAGCTGCCTCCCAGGATATCACGGAAAGTTTCTTATATACGTAGGTCACCCAAAAACCAAAACACAGTAAATCTTATATTCATGTTAGATAATGGAATTACTCAGAAAAAGTAGCTGGAACAGGACAGGATGAATGTACCTTGGTATATGTATAACTCAGTGTTAACTATTGAAGTTACCTTGTGTGTTCACAAATGTAGTATACATATATATTTGGTTTGGTTTGGTTTAATTTTGTTTAACGTCCTATTCACAGCTAAGGTCATTTAAGGACGTACCTCCATATTTGTAGTGTATGCGTGTGAGTGTATGCAGGAGACAGGATATGTTGGTGTGCTTGCCTCCTTGTGTTAGCGCGGATCCGAGGCCGACTTGATAGTATATATTTATATTATATGTATAGTATATATCTCACTAAAAAGGTTCGGCACCAAGTTTTATTTTCTCCATAGTTTGTTTGATATTAGTCCGAATTATTCTGACGTTTTATCGACTTTTTTCATATCGATCTGTCGTCGATCGACGACAGACCGATATGAAAAAAGTCGATAAAACGTCAGAATAATTCGGACTAGTTTGATATGTTAGCAGATACACAAACAGCAAGACAATATTCAAAATTGAACGCATTTCTGAGTTAACAAAATGGATCAATATTTTCATGAATTATTCTATAAATCTGCTATCTTTTATCTGTTTAATTTTTTATCGAATAAAAAAATGAACAACAGCAGCTACAAATAATGAAATTGGTCAATTTTACAAAAATAAACCATTGCGTAGTCAGAAAACACAATAATTTCTATTATATTGCTGAGATGGTAATTCAAACGAAAGCGCAATCAAAGCAATCATATAACGGCTTATATGCAGTATCACTTTTCATCAAAACTATACAGGAGCTAGATCTGTTACCTTATGCAGGGACTATATGTCCCTGCCTTATGTTACACATGAAAATAATTTACCCTGCCATTTTTCTGTTTAAACTTCCCCCGTTAATTTATTGCAAAATCTATACATAAAAGAATTTATCAAAGTTTACATAAAATTATTATGTTTGTGTTGATTCTACAGTCTGGGAACTTTTAGATATGATGCACATAATCCGGAATTTCTTTCCCCGTCTCCGCTCCCACGTCTAAACATTAGCCACTCCCCAGCAGAAAATAATGGCGGGCACCTCATGCAAACGTTAAACTGGCTCCTTACAGCTACACAGAGATTGTGTTGCTGTAACCTTATAAGTCAATGTTTGTACTGTAACAGTTAGTTAATTTATAAATAGACTGAAGAAAGAACTTCCCAAAGCTAGGAACTATTTTTACGTAAGTTTACATTGCTTTACTTTCACATTGTGACACATTGAGTTGTGGTCACTCCGTCCTTCTGTCTTTTGCTTTGTATTTTGAATGCACGATTCATGATGGAGCCAACGGATTAGTTATAGTGCCAAGTAACTAACTTAAATTTCCGATTAAAGTAGTAAATATAGTTTGATATCTCAATTGAGTACAGCCCCCTGGGGAGTCAGCCCCACCATTTGTACAATTTTTAATCACCACCACCTAGGGATGCTTCCAGTCAAATATGGTTGATATCCATTTCTCAGTTTACCGTTGACCTTTTGGGGGGGGGGGGAAACGCTGTACAATATGCCTTATCATGGCCAAGAAATCTGAGTCTGTAGTCTGTACTGTACCTATGTCGAATACAGTTTCCCCTAGATAAAAGTGCCTTATTTTTCCCAAAAATAAAAGGGAAATTTCTTTTATCATCTTGCTGACAATGGTTTGGTAGGACTGTCTTGAATGCTCTGAAAGTGAAAAACAAAAATAAGAGATTTACAAAATAATTTTACCAGGATGACAAAGTTCTTGTCATTACCTTGGTCATTACTCTCATCACATAAATAGTAATTGGTTGTGACTGACACTCTCATTCAGACTTGGAGCAACGGCTCTGTTAATAATATGTAGTTTTTGTTCTACCACACGAAACGCCTGCAGCTGTTTCATTATCGGGAAACTTTTTTCGGCATAATTTTGTAAAATGGTCCGAGATTGAAATTGGCAGGTTGTACCTTACAAATGAGATATATACTACACAATTGTAAATACAATTAAACTATTCATAAAAACATCTCGCCACCCACCTGTCGATAAGTTTGGTACCATCGGTCTATATATTAACAAGTTTGTAAAAACAATTATAATTCGTAAAAACAACTCGCAACTTACTTGTTGGTGAAAAAAGGAAACAGGAAATGGGTCGTCTTCCTTTCGACAGAGGATACAAAAGTCTTGAGCATTCTGAAAGACTTCAGTAACTTTTAATGTACGTAAAGATTCCGGGCGAGAATGGTTGAAATTGACGAAATCTGGGTCAAAATTGTAACCCGGCATGTGAAGTTGTTAGTACAGGTTTAAGGGCTTAAATTAAAGTCACTTGGCAGGTATGCTTATATACTCAATATTCAATATATCTTTAACAGAATCTAACCAAGGTCACTCTTCAAAGTGTTCCAGTCATCTTGGGTCCAACAATTGGACTGCAAAATAAATTTATATTAGCCATTGCTCCTATCATAGCAGTTGAGCTAAATGAAAATTTCTTTTCGTCCTTAACTGTTTTCAACTTAACTGGTACACTATATGATACTACCCGCGAAAATAATACATGTCATCCTCTAGTCTGTCCGATTATACAAGATTGGCATACATGTAATGATGTAGTACCAGGGTTCCTAGTCTATAATAACTTTACTATCTCCCTTTAAAAAAAGTTGATAGGGCGTCCAATAAAACAATTAAAAGGAGATAGTTATTTGGACTAACATGCAGGTCGCTATGAAGTCATTGTATTCGTACATTTGCTAGAAATTGAACTTGATACTGAATATTATAAAATGATAAGCTAATTACTACCCGGTAGTTCAGTGGTCTACAGATTAAAATATAGATAAATTCCTTGGCAAAGAGTTGATGATAAGTGATAGGTAGTATTCGCCAGTCTAATAAGAATTGAATTACCTTGGTTGCTCATGATCAGTTATTCAAGTTATTACAGGATTTAAATTTAGAACAAGTAATAAAAAATGTGTGTTAATATAAAAATCTCTATTGGCAAGTTCTTTTCATAGAACATTAAGTTAATTAATAATGAAGTTGAAAGCATTAATTATGTATATGAATTATAAATGTTGTTCTAATATGCTCACAGTCATTGGTAATGCTTAATTTCATTATTAATTTGTATATATCTAGGAGAATGGCTTCTTTCATGACCTCTGGGATGATGCCTCCACCAAGTCACCAGGATGTGATGGACAGTGCTGGACGTCTCCTAGACAATCATATGCAAGATGACAGAAGCTATCTCGACCTTTCAGATCAGCTTAAAGTTCCTGTTCATAGTAAGGAATTGAAAGTATTTACACAATTTGATAAAAGACTGTTTAAATTTCTATCAAACTTGTGTAAATCTTGGAAACTGACTTTGCAAAAATTAAATATTCATAAATTATTTTTCTACTTTGAAAAATATTTTTGCACATTTCGTTGTAGACCAGCCTTGTGTGAGTGGTTTGAATGAGTTGGACTACCCCAGTCTACCCGAAGCCAGAGTTGGACTGGAATGTCTGCCAGAGATCAGCAATGTTAAGCTGGTCCCTCTCCCTCCCGAACTCATGGAACAGTTTGGACGTATCCTTTCATTCATTATAGTGGACTGCATTATGTATAGTTACTGAGAAGTATTCAAGAGGTACATTATTATGAATACCGAAAGATACAGTTTTTCTGTTAGAATTAAAAATATAGATACAGTTACAAACAGTTAATCTAACTTACTAAGCTACCTGGCCAGTGGTAATTGCCTGGCCCAGTCTCTATAAGGGGAGGTTACTTAAGATTGAGAAACCAAAATGAAATTTTCTGAATTTTTGCATGCTGTGGGAAAAGGATCATTAAGGTTTTTTTTAATAAAAAGCAATGTTTGACCAATAGGTAGATTTAAGGTCATGAACAAAATCTTAGTATTAAGCATAAGTTCCCTATGATGAACTACTGGACATTGAAACAATTATGTATATTGTTATCCTTGATCGTGGTGAAGGGATGCAGTGTAACTGTATGATGGGCCTGTTTCCTGATGTGGAACGAGCCTGGCTGGCTATTGATAGCGACATCTTTGTCTGGCGATATGAAGATGGGTAAGTTGTCCGCTCATAATTACAAAAAATTCTTGCAAGCTTTACTTGATTTTAAGTTTGATAAATCTCCAAAAACTCTGGTAAGTTAACTGAAATATGCTAAGCAAAACATGCTTTAAATTTGTTCCCGTGTTTATTTTTCTTGCAGAAGTGACCTAGCTTATTTCGATGGACTGAGTGAAACTATCCTGAGTGTGGCATTAGTTAAACCTAAAGTTGGTGAGTAAGAAATGGAAATCAAACACTGGAACTTTGCTTGTACTATTGCTGACTGTACAGTTCATATAGAGGATTTATAAATGTTCTATATCGCAGTCCATGACTACATACAGATTTTTAATCAGGATGCTGTACTTTTTATATGCCCTTCAAATTTGACGGGAGTATTATTGTATGGCGTCGTCTGGCGTAAACTTTTGTTTGTCCGGCAATCTCCTCCTACATTTTTTGACAGATTTCTTTGAAACTTAGTAGGCTAAATAATCATGATATGTTGTTGTTTCCTTGAAAAGAATTTTGATTCGACAATTTTTGCAATGGTTATTGCCCTTTGTTCATTTTTAGTATTTTATTTTTTGTCCAGAGATTTTCTCCACATTTTTTGTAGCATGTCAGCTAACCACTCTTAGAATGATGCAGATCTTATTTCAATGTAAGAAAGTATATAACTCTATATGGCATTCAACGGGCGTATATTGTTCCGCTCTACACTACTCTTGTTTAATATATATATATACACAAGTGCCAAGTAATTGTGTGTCTGACAAATATGTACATATAATATACTCCACTAAGATTGAAACAGGGTTTTTCTGATTTTTTCGTTTCAGGGATTTTCCAGCCTCACATTCAGTACCTGTTGTGTCTGGCTACACATGTAGATATTGTCCTGCTGGGGGTCAGTTTTTCACAGCCCAGGGAAGGTTAGTATTAAAAATTAAATGTCATTGTTCAGTCTGATAAAAATGATTCACAATAAGGAAAGACTGTATATTTACTAAATTAAGTCTCCTCTTTGAGCGACGGAAGATATCTTTTTTTAGTACTGATTCCTCTGGTTAAGTGATTGTGATGAAAAAGGTTGCTATGCAATCATTTTTTGACTGTTAATATATCTCAATGCAGAGATAAACATTTTCGGCTTTTTGGCTGATTTCAGCATTTGTTTTAGAACTCTACTGTAATACAAACTTTAAATTTTTCCTTAAGAGACGATTAGTAAATTGAAATTTCAGCTTTTTTTGTTGGTAAGCCGTCTCATCACTGTTATAACATCTGACATGTACGCACCACCCAAACAGATTGTGCAATGTGCTGTAATTATGTCCCTGTGACCTTCACCTCAAGACTAGGAATCTGATTTTATGATATAATTTTATGACAGGCATGTCAGCTGAACTTGGGAATGGTGAGATGCACCTTCTGCCAGAACCACTGTTCTCCATTCCCACAGACAACACCTACATTATGAACATAATCGGGTCGGACAATGGCCGCATATTTATGGCTGGCAAGGATGGCTGTTTATATGAGCTGGCGTACCAGGTGAGATTATGGATGTATTTACAACATGTGGATACAGTATCTAGAAAGGTCCCTTAAACACAAGGGGATTCTCAGGAATTGCTCAAGTATATATTCATTTTCATCCTTATCTGAGCTTTTTCAGATATATAAGAATACCCATGTTAGTAGCAGGTCAGTGATGTATGCTGCAGTCATTTGTTGACTTCAGCGCAGAACAATAACCACATCTCACTCTGGACTCTGAACAGCCTCCATAGTTCAATTCCGTCTTTGCGTATTGCAGAGTTATCTCCTCTTGTGAGGTGATATTGATTGTTACATCATTGATTTGTGTAAGAAAATTACGTCGTTTTCTCAAAAATTGATGACGTTACTTTCATAAACAAATGACGTAACAATCAATACCTGCTCTCAAGAGCAGATAACTCTGCAATATGCAAAGACGGAATACTCTCTGTATGATACAATGTTATCTTGAGGCATGTGTTATTGTGTATTTGTTTCTAAGTGAATAACCATGATTGACATATTGCCATAACGTAAGTAGTTGTGAATATTTATGATCATAGTAAATTTCCTGTTTTTCTAGGTTTTTAAACTTCATCGACTCATACCATAACCGATCAAATCAATGTTCAGTTTGTGAACTTGTAATTTTGAAATGAGAAGTAATGAATATGGTTGCTGATCACATATATCGTTCCTTTTATTACATAAACAAAATAGAGACAAATGAAATTTTTGTTTATGAAGTGATGAACACAGCATCCTTAATGTGTATTGAAAAGTTTACAAATAAGGGATCTGTTGTGTGGACATTTCAGGCAGACGATGGATGGTTCAGTCGGAAGTGTCGTAAGATCAACCACTCGACCAGCACATTGTCCTTCCTCATACCATCCTTCCTCAACTTCTCCTTCAGTGAAGACGGTAAATGCCTTTAACACATCCACTTCTCAGTAACACAATTTTATTCTATTTGGCTAAATATCAACCATAAAATATTCTTCATGGCTCCACTCAAAGATTGATTAGGTAGTAAATTTTGTGTCTGATTTGTTATATAAAATATTAAAACATAAAAGCTTTGTCAGTGGTTTAGTTGGAAATCCACATTGTAAAGTTTACAAATATGTTTTATAAGTTGCTTATTGAAATTTTGATTTCAAGTTTTAAGGCTTGTCCATGTACTACAAACAGTGTTGGTTTTCCAAACAGAATGATTGGTAAATGTTTTTTAATTTCATTATAAAATTTCTGCAAAACAGAATTTTGAGACTGACATTTGTCTTTATCTTGTAGATATTTGAAACTACTGCACTATATCTCAACTGAATTTCCAAATGTTTGATTGAGAAACATCAAATCATTTTTCTGAATAAATTTTTGAAAATACCGTCATGTTTTCCGAACCTTTATATATTATATTACTGTATTTCCACAGATCCACTGGTACAACTCAGTCTTGATCAGTCTCGACACATCCTCTACGCACGGTCAGAGAAAGGAACAATACAGGTCAGTCTTAAATGTTTTCAATCTTTTGAAATATGTCTTTTATCTAAAAGTACAATTCTGTTGTCAAATACTGGTAGCTGCAAAAAAAACCAAAAAGGGTAAGGACTTCATAAAGTATCCCTTTTAGTATGTATTTTTAATTCTTGATTTTAAGGTTATTGTAACATGTTGGTGTTGAGCATGCTGGTAAGTAGCATGAAACATGAGTCTATAAAAATGAATTAATGTATGCCTTACTTAATATATCTTTCCACTGATATAAATGATGGCCATGTGTGTTGTGTAGGTGTTTGACCTGGGTCAGGATGGTAACAGTATGGGGAAAGTAACAGCAATCCCTCAACAGACCATAGTACACAACGCATGGCAAATAGCAAGGTAAGGCTAGACATACCTCAACAGACTATAGTACACAACGCATGGCAAATAGCAAAGTAAGGTCAGTCATACCTCAACAGACCATAGTACACAACGCATGGCAAATAGCAAGGTAAGGGCAGTCATACCTCAACAGACCATAATACACAACGCATGGCAAATAGCAAGGTAAGGCTAGACATAGTTCTACAGACCATAGTACACAACGCATGGCAAATAGCAAGGTAAGGTTAGACATAGCTCTACAGACCATAGTACACAACGCATTGCAAATAGCAAGGTAAGGTCAGACATACCTCAACAGACCATAGTTCACAGCACATGGCAAATAGCAAGGTAATGTCAGTTATACCTCAACAGACCATAGTTCACAGCACATGGCAAATAGCAAGGTAAGGGCAGTCATAACTCAACAGACCATAATACACAAAGCATGGCAAATAGCAAGGTAAGGGCAGTCATACCTCAACAGACCATAATACTCAACGCATGGCAAATAGCAAGATAAGGCTAGACATAGTTCAACAGACCATAGTTCACAACACATGGCAAATAGCAAAGTAAGGTCAGTCATACCTCAACAGACTATAGTTCACAACACATGGCAAATAGCAAGGTAAGGTCAGTCATACCTCAACAGTCCATAGTTCACAACAAATGGCAAATAGCAAGGTAAGGTCAGTCATTCCTCAACAGACTATAGTTCACAACACATGGCAAATAGCAAGGTAAGGTCAGTCATGCCTCAACAGACTATAGTACACAACACATGGCAAATAGCAAGGTAAGGCTAGACATACCTCAACAGACTATAGTACACAACGCATGGCAAGTAGCAAGGTAAGGCTAGACATAGTTCAACATACCATAGTACACAATGCATGGCAAATAGCAAGGTAAGGTCAGTCATTCCTCAACAGACTATAGTTCACAACACATGGCATATAGCAAGGTAAGGTCAGTCATACCTCAACAGACCATATAGTACACAACACATGGCAAATAGCAAGGTAAGGCTAGACATACCTCAACAGACTATAGTACACAACGCATGGCAAGTAGCAAGGTAAGGCTAGACATAGTTCAACAGCCCATAGTTCACAACACATGGCAAATAGCAAGGTAAGGCTAGACATAGTTCAACATACCATAGTACACAATGCATGGCAAATAGCAAGGTAAGGTCAGTCATACCTCAACAGTCCATAGTTCACAACACATGGCAAATAGCAAAGTAAGGTCAGTCATACCTCAACAGACCATTGTTCACAACGCATGACAAATAGCAAGGTAAGGTCAGTCATACCTCAACAGCCCATAGTTCACAACACATGGCAAATAGCAAAGGAAGGTCAGTCATACCTCAACAGACTATAGTTCACAACACATGGCAAATAGCAAGGTAAGGCTAGACATAGCTCAACAGACCATAGTTCACAACACATGGCAAATAGCAAGGTAAGGTCAGTCATACCTCAACAGACCATTGTTCACAACGCATGACAAATAGCAAGGTAAGGTCAGTCATACATCAACAGACCATAGTTCACAACGCATGACAAATAGCAAAGTAAGGTCAGTCATACCTCAACTGACCATAGTTCACAACGCATGACAAATAGCAAAGTAAGGTCAGACATACCTCAACTGACCATAGTTCACAACGCATGGCAAATAGCAAGGTAAGGTCAGTCATACCTCAACAGACCATAGTACACATCGCATGGCAAATAGCAAGGTAAGGCTAGACATAGTTCAACAGACTATAGTACACAACGCATGGCAAATAGCAAGGTAAGGCTAGACATACCTCAACAGACTATAGTACACAACGCATGACAAATAGCAAGGTAAGGTCAGTCATACCTCAACAGACCATAGTACACATCGCATGGCAAATAGCAAGGTAAGGTCAGTCATGCTTCAACATACCATAGTTCACAACACATGGCAAATAGCAAGGTAAGGTCAGTCATACCTCAACAGACCATAGTTCTCAACGCATGGCAAATAGCAAGGTAAGGTCAGTCATACCTCAACAGGCCATACTTCACAACGCATGGCAAATAGCAAGGTCAGGTCAGTCATACCTCAACAGACCATAGTACAAAACGCATGGCAAATAGCAAGGTAAGGCTAGACATAGTTCAACAGACCATAGTACACAATGCATGGCAAATAGCATGGTAAGGTCAGTCATACATCAACAGACTATAGTACACAACGCATGGCAAATAGCAAGGTAAGGTCAGTCATACCTCAACAGACCATAGTGCACAATGCATGGCAAATCTAAATAACTGTTAAGGAACATCAAGTATATATAAGTTACTTTGTATTAACATATTATGTAAATTCTGTATAGAAACATATCTACAATAGGAGAATATAGTATATCACTAATCAAGATAACTATATAGGATAATAGGATATGTACCTTAGTTAATGCATAGGAAAATACAGTGTATCTAAATTACAGTATTGGAAGTTTTGATTGTTTCTAAATTACTGTTCACTGTGATGATAGTATTATAAGTGTTTGTGTCCTGTTCTGTTCCAGGACAATAGAGAGGTCTAACTTCAAACCACTTGTTCACATCAGTGCGATAACACGACACGAATCTGCGAACATACACTTAGTGGCAGTCACTCAGTCAGGTACGTACAGACTTTAACTAGGATGCATATGGTAGGAAACATTTTCTGCAATTAACAATGTATGTGTTGGACTTTGTCAACATGGATTTTTCTGACACTTTCCTTTCCTTGTGATTTGGAAACCTGAAAGGAATCTTCATGTTTGATTCTGTGAGATCCGTTGCTAAGTTAACAGGACATGAAATTATTTGGACAGACAATTATATTTAAGACAAACACAACTTTTGACCATTTATTATATATCTGAAAATCAAATATGCATATTACGATCCTAATCCTCCATTTTCATAACATTTTCTTAAAGCAGAAATTGGTTATCAGTTTTATGTACAAGTTTCACATCTTATTGATACTGTTTTAGGTGCACGTCTGTATTTCTCCACCAACAACTTTGGTAACAACAAAGGACGCCCCTGCATGCTGACACTAGTTCATGTACGTCTACCACCAGGCTTCTCGGCAACTGCAGGCATCCAGAAACCGACCAATATTCACACGGCCTATCATAAAAATGGTAATGTACTATTTTCTCTGGTGAAGTGCCTTTTATTCGAGTGCGGGTGTTAGTAACTGTTGTGTCAATCTGTTCTCGAGAGGACTATAAGTTAGCGCTCTGTTTGTTCGTCAGTCCGCCACTATGTCAAGAGCATACCTCGTATACTGTTTCACCTACAATTGCCAAATTTGGTGTGCAAGTACATTTTGGGATGGTGGAATGTCACATATTAAAATATGATCTTGTGCCCCACTATATAAAGTGTGTATAGACATGGCCTATATTCTCCGTACATCAATATATCGCCTACAATTGCCAAATTTGTATGTGACTACCTCATGGGATAGGGAAGTGTTGCATCTCATATCCATGCCCTGCCATATATACAAAGTTAGCATTCTTTGCCCATTTCATATACCGAAGGTGTCAAGATTTTGGGACTGCACAATTTCTTGCAATACTTTGCCAAGTTGCTCATCTATTGATAAAATGCAAAAGGAAGATACTGCCTGTTTATCAAATGGTATATATGATCATGTCAACACATCTTTAGACCTGTTGGTGTTATAAATGTTTTCTTTTTAGTAAGCTCAGATTATCATTCTCCTTGTAAATTGATTTCATGTGGGCAATAGATAGAATCATTTTGTTTTCCCTATCACATACAATAAAAAATTTCATATTGTAATTAAGTAATTTGTCGATGTATATTTGGGGTTCAGGCTCGTTACTGCTGGTGTCGTCCCAGTCTGAGGAGAGTGATGCCATGTGGACCATCAGTGGGGACTCCTTCCCCTTCCAGAGCCAGCTCATGGAGGCACAGGTAAGATTGTCTTAACAGTATTGGCGTTTCAAAAATAGAAAACCTTCAAACTTTCAAGCGTCAATATTATGATAGGCTTAGAGAATATTACCCAAAAAAGTATGTACGGAAATCATTTTTTCATGAAAATGGAATTATTGTCTACTACTACTGATATTTTTTTGATATTTGTTTTAAGCATCTTATTATAATTTTCATCTTGAATTAAAGAAATTTTTTGTTCTTCATGTACACATTGCTTTTCTTCCTGGCAGACGACAATCCCTATTAATGGTAGGACGTGGGCCGTATGTGAGATTCCCTCGCCTGCTTTAGAACCTGGTGTATTCAGACAAGCCAGACCTGGCACCCTGAAAGCAGATCCACCTGCAGTAGTCACACAGCATACTGAGCTTCCGCGGAGGTTTGTCCTCCTTACAGCACAGGTACACACTGTCGTGTAGCAATATGTTGTTTCCATCTAAGTTTGGAAAAAAAAGGAAATAATTTACATATCAACTTTGAAAGCAGCAATACTGAGGATTTGAACAATTCTTTAATGAGTATTACTATTTGACTGAACATACCTGATCGTTAAAATGAATCGCAGCACTAACCAGGTGCTGTTCAGGTCTACTATGCGTTAGGAAGCAGTTTTATTGTATTTCCTTCCAAAATTGTAGTTTTGCAAGCATTTAAACAAATCTGAATTTATGGCTAATCAGATCATTTCCATGTAGTTGCAGTTTTAATACCAACATGTATTAGCCGTTACGTTATAATTGTTATAATGGTATTTATTTTCAGGGGAGCCACATCCTCAGTAAGTTACGACCAGTGGATCAGCTGAGGCAGCTCTTGATTGACTGCCAGGGACCAGATGCAGAGGAAGTAAAAGGGTTCTTCAGGCTTCACAGGGTAAACTTTATGTTTTACCTATATCTAATTACCCTGCATGGTTCAATTACTGTTACAGGACCAGAAAGGGATCAGTGCTCTGTTAAATTAGAAAATAGTACAGAAAAGGTTGCTTCATACATTGGTGTAATCTATGTTGTAATATATTTAGTTGTCTATTTTGATTAGTTCATGCAGTAATTCCCAAAACTGTTTACTGGGAAACTTTTGATAGTGAAATATTCCCCCCTTCATCAGTTACACATATGTTCACCCAACATGTTAATTTTGCCCTACACTATGGAAATATTTCCCCTTCACTGTTCAGTTCATATTTGCACAGCGTTAAATCTCCCCTTAACTGGTAAAATCCATATCTACCAAGTGTTAAGTCTCTCATCACAGTGAAAAGGCTCCCTTCATTGTTAAAATCTATATTTGCCTAGTGCTAATTTCTCTCATCATAGTGGAAATACTAAGCTGTCATGATGAATTTTCCCTTCCTGAAGAGAGTGAAAGTAGCCAAAATATGTTCACATACCGTAAATAGTCGTGTATTGTATGCACTCGAGTATAATGAGCAGGTACTTTTTGGGTGAATTTGTTTTCTTGAGACTAATTTTCTGAATAAAATGTCAACCTGGACTGATAGCACCAACCTGGTACGTCACTAATGAAGGTAAACTCAATGAGCACATTCGCCCAGGTAAGTTTGATTGACAAGTGCCCCTGATGTTGTAGATTGAACAAGCCTGTGCTACCTGTCTGATCCTGGCCTGTTCCCGCCTTGCAGCTGACCAACCAGTAAGTCAACTGTCATTATTTTAGAGAAGTTCTTTTGGACTAATTAATTTTCAATTAAAAGAAAAAATCCACTATTCTCATACAGTTATGATAGATACTGAAAACTGTCTCAAAGACTTCACCATAGAATGTTTTGATTAGTGCTCATTTCAGTTGGATACAAATATTTTCTTTTTCCTTGAAGTCTCAAAGGAATAACTGGTTATTTGTATTGTAGATTGCAAACTGGGCCACGATGGCTTTCTTTATGTATGGTGGTGAGGCTCAGTATAACTTCGGGATGGATCGGTCCCTAATGGCCAGCAATATCGGCCCCTCTGGTGAGTGTTACATCACAGACGGCCACTGAACGAGTACTTCAGGGCCTGTATTCAAGAACCCGTTCTCAAGCTCAAGCATAGATTTTGTGCTCATGCCAACTTTCTTGTAACTCACTTAAATCATGTCAAATTATCAAAAATTATCAAAAAGTCAAATATAAACATTTTTAAAACAGTATTTAGCTCAAGTCTCTTCAAATTTTTCCCCAGGTTGTTTACAAAATAAGATTTCATTATTAATTTATAAACGGAACAAGAATTAGTATACGGCTTGAGCACAAAATCCATACTTGAGCATGGGAACAGTTTCATGAATATGGGCCCTGAACATTTTTGATACTGTTATCTTTTCTGAAGTGTATTTTGCTAAAATTCATAAGCAATATAAAAAATTGAAAAGAGTTGTAAATAGTTAAGCTGTTTTCAAGATCTGTAATAGAACAATCTAGTTAACAGAAATTAGATGAGGAAAGTTATTGGTTTTAATAGGAATGCACCCTACCGTGACCTCTACACCAGCCCCAGGGATGGGCCATGGCTACTTCCATCCATCCCTCACCCAGGGGCCAACCATGAGCCAAGAAGTCATCTTTTCTGGCAAGCACAATGGCATCTGCCTCTATCTATCAAGGATCCTGAGGTAAATCACACATGGATATTTTAGGTCCCAGTAATAACATTCAAATGTGTTTACTATGTTTTGCTATAGAATATGTACCGTAAGTGATCAATCGTTTCTAATATAAAATATTTATTATTTATTTACAAATATCTGACTAAAAGTCATTGAAATATTTATGAGACTATTTAAATAGATCCACACTTATAGATAAATGATGGCAAGTGTTTGAATTAAGAAAAGTCTAGACTAATTTGTGTTTTGTGGTGTTTTCGTTAGGTGTATATGGGAAAATGCCGTTGCTACTGACTTTCCCTACACTACTCCTCAGGGGGTTCTTAACTATGTAAGTATGCATGTTTAAAGTTTAAAGTTTTCAACTCTTCTTTCTTATGTTCTTATGCAAAGAATTTGCAACACTTTTAGTTCAGCGCTATATATGGATAATACTTGCTCAACGATTCAGCTAGGATTGCTCTGCTGAATTCATGTTGCGAATGCTGAATTTAAGCTACGTCTAACCATTTAGCGACAAGGTTACACATCAGATTAAGAAGAATTGGAGCATACAGCTGGAGCTGCCATTTCGGCGCTAACAGCTAGCATTCAACAATTTTAGCAGTGCCCAACCACATACTCATTTATAGCGGAGTAGACTGGAACAAGCGGAGTAAAGTATCTTTGAGCAAGATACAACATAACGCTGTGTCGTGACTCGAACCCACAACCCTTTGGTCACGAGCCCGGCGTCCTACCACTAGACTACTGGCCTCCTTATACTAATAACTTCTGTGCTTCAGTGACATAGACTGATATGTATCAGTTAAAACAAATTAGACTGATATGTATTAGGGAAAACAAATTAGACTGATTTGTATTAGGGAAATCAAATTAGACTGATGTGTATTAGGGAAAACAAAATAGACTGGTTTGTATTGAGGAAAAAAGGAATTGTGTCATCCATATATTGATAAAGTTCTAAAAGAAGAATAGTTTTTAAAAAATTATCGTAAACTAAATATTTTATCAGTCATCATTTTGCGGCATTAAAAACACTATTCTTGTTTGCACTATGTATTTTTACATTTAGTTTGATTCTTGAAGGAATCAAGTGATATGAGTTGTGGCACTCTGTACTTTTCAAAATTGTATTTTATATGCTTCATTGTTACCTGGAAATCTAATCATGTTCAGAACTTCTTATCTATATGGTGAATAGTGATATCATTGACATTATCTTGTTCTGGTTCTGATGAGGTCATGCCCAAGCCATCATATTTAACATGTACATATTATCTTGATAGAAACTAGAGGTGTAACACATTACACACAGAAGGTGTAACTAGGTCCATGTGACCTTTCACTTCAAGTTCAAAGGTCAAACACATGCTTAATTTTCTGGTAGAAAAACTTTTTAAACACTGTTTCAGCTGACATGTTCCTTCACCACCGAGGAGTTAACACAGATCCTGGAGAATATCCGTGGACTTTCTGATTTTGTAGATTTTAATTCAAGATATGAGACGGGGCCATCAGAAAGGTATGACAAACAAAACAGTAAGAATTGTTTATGCGATAAATGCAATTAAAATGTGCAAAGGATATTCTGACAAAAGACATTAATAAATCATATATTTCCAAGGCTCTAATTTTGATACAAATGAATAAAAATATGCATATAATCTTGTTAACATGTGTCTTACTAACAGTCTGAGACATGTGTGTTCAAGTTGATGAAAATCTCTCGCAAATTAATGTGAAAATAGATACCTCTTGATATTAAAGGGTTATATTTATAGTGAAATGATTGTATGAGACACATTGTTACAGATTTTTTCTAAATAAATGATAAACTGTCTGCTTTACAGCAACATGCCTCCGATGCCTTTTTCGTCACACCTGATGGGGCCTGTAGACGATCAGTTAAGGAAGGGGCTTCAAGGTGAGATGCTATTTATAGCTATAATAACGACCATTTTTGAAGGAAAGTAATACAGGGTGTTGGACATAGGGTAATAATTTTAATGCAGAAGAGTATTATTTTATAAAATGTGATTATTGTTTCCACCACTATATCCCAATCATACCTAATTTGTTTTGTGTCTTCTTGTCAACTGGCTTAGTTATTCTGCAGAAAAATGACTATTTCCTTTCACAAAATGTGCAACTAATCTAGACACATTGTTAACTAGAAACTCTTGGTCCGGAAACTTGAAGATGATAAAAAAAGTGAGACTTGACTAAAAGTAGATTTTGACGTTCATATTTTGGTTGTTAGCAAGGTGCAGTGGATAACACCTTCCACTTTCCTACAAGGCAAACAGGAATAATTAAGGCAAACAGGAATAATTAAGGCAAACAGGGATAATTAAGGCAAACAGGAATAATTAAGGCAAACAGGGATAAATAAGAAATAAGTTTATAAGGCTTGTTTCTTATTTGCCATAAAATAATAAAGTTTTATTTAAAAGGTTCATTTTAAGATGTTGCAGACAATGACTGTGTTGTATAGAACAGGTAATATTTGTATACACTGATGCTGACAAGGTCATATCACTTATTATGTTGTATACTAAGTTCATAAAAACAATTGTACAAACAACTGCTTGTTGTCTTGAACTATAAAGTCTTTGACCTGTATGTTGAAGAGTCGGTAATCATTTTAAGCTTTAGGTTCTGTCTGTAGATTTTGCCATTTTTTCTTTTGAACTGTGTATAGGGTAGTCTACCATGATAGAATCTGCCTGTTAACTTGCCATCTTACCCATGTTCCATAGGGGAGGCCCAGAAGATGGAGAAGATTTCTTTGCAGCACATCCAAGACCTTATCCATCGTGTAGAGGAGGTACTGGGGCTCCTGAAGATCCTTGTCGACCACCAGTTCCATATCGTCGCCAGTCAGTTAACCAAGGTTGATAATACATTTAACTCATAATCTTGACCACCACCATGATACAGTAAAATATGGAAATGCATGTAAGGCCAAATAAAAAAATATGTGTTTCCTGTTTCGGCTCGCAAAATATAAGGGTAGGTAGGTTGGAAAAACATTTTTATTTATTTTTTCTTTTTTTCTTTCTTTCTGGTGAATAAAATCTCCTGATTACCTCTGTGAATGTTAAAAATATTGTTGTTTAAATAAATTATGAAAGGCACCAAATATATACATTTGTAATTTGATTCATTTAAAATAAATACACAAATGCATTCACAGTTTTTCTGTTCAACAGGCTCAAACGACACATTGAAGTAAATTATTATTTGACCCACCTACATGTTTATTGAATAACCAACTGTAATTTACTGTAGTGCTACCACCAGTGTTACATTTCTAAATTATCCCTACCGCTGGACATTAGTTTTTAGTAATCCAAACTCCACTGATGGTCACCAGTGTTATGTTCTCTTTTGTATTACTGATGCTTTCTGTTCTCAATTTCTACTGCCTCTGGTTCAACTTATTTGAACAACAAAATTAGTAAATTTATATTTACACTATATTTATAACACAAGTTTTTTAATCTGTCATAAACTATACAAGTCTTCACTATTGTGAACTCAATCTCTCCACTTCAAACTTAATTATCTCCAACTATAAACTGTAAAACTGCACAGATCTACAAACTACAGCTAAAACTACTATTATTACTCACTTCCTAATCCTTACTTAACCTCTTAAGCTTTCTATCTCTCCTCTATATCTCTTGACCTCTCAACTGGGTCACCCTTACTCAACCTCCTTCCTCAAGACTCTTTAACTCAATTTCCCAACCCAACTCTCTTCTCCTCCTTCGACTCTCAAGCTGAACTACCTTACTATCTGTCTCGTAGCAAAATCCTGCTACAATAAAAATGTTGATACCTTAAAATTGTTGATGCTGCTGAAATCCTGTTAAAAACTGGCCATAAATCCTGCTAAATTTGACTCTAATGGTCAGCATCAGCTGGAGGCACAAACACCGACATCACAGACTGGACTCCCCCACCTAGACTACAGATGGTCACACTAATCTACAGATCCCAACCTATATCATAACCACAATTATCTACCGCTACTTAGCTCCTATCTGCAAATAAAACTCTGACACTGACCACACCAATAGAATGCATAACAAGTTATATGTACACTTTGAACAATTAAATGGCTAATAAATGCATTACAGTGACTGAAAAACCAATAAAATGTATTAGGGTCGGCAGGAAAAAAAGGGTCGGTCGGGCAACACAGGTATATTTTTATTTGGCCTAATTTATTTTGGTGTTAGCACCATGGTTGTATTACTGGCCTTACAAAAAAGTGAAACATTGGTAGTCTGGATTCTTCTGAGTTGGACATTTTACTTTCAGGCCAGTTTTTTGTGAATATTTTTGTAACAAAATATTTTTTGTATTATTTGAAAATAAAAAGTTCTTTGAAAAATATGTAACCCCGAAAATCTGAACTTGTGGTATTTATTCGACCACACTCGGAATAAAGGGTTTGCAATTTTGAAGAATTTGACAATATACATTTATTCTACTGTGGTCATACTGGCTATGCAAGCATAAATCATCATCACTGAAATCTTGTGTGTTTCAGGACCAGCAAAATCAGCTCCGAACAATGATGTTTAAACATCTTGTAATCAGCAGCAAAGATGTAAGTAATCTGCTTATTTTTTGTGTCAAAGTTTGCGGTTTAATTCTCCTGTACAATGAACTGTGTACAGTACAATGTACAGCATATATAAAAAATATGGCAAAATAGTCATAATTCTTAAAAAGCATAAAATGATTGTCATATCCACTGCTGAGCAATTCCTTTCAATGGAGATACGTATTGGGAGGTCGTGTGTGTGTTGTCCAGAAATACAGTTCTATGTAATTATATCACTGGTATAATACAGTTACCCAGTTGTTACATGTACTATGTAATTTGTTCTAAAGCAATAATCCTTGATCTGTTGTAATTTTGTCACTGGTAAAATAAAATAATACTGTTGTAATTACCAGTACATGTAAATGGATACATATACAAAAATTATTTGATATTACACAACACTGGAATCTGAGGAAGCTTATGATTTTGACAACAGTTCTGTTATAGTTTGTTACTTTTATTACATAGATCTGCGGTGCGTTGATTACTTGCCTCATTAATCGTTACCTTGATGACAATGCTACGATAGATGCTATCAACAACAAACTACGAGAAATCTGTCCGTCTTTATACAGCAGTGATGATGCCACTTGTTCAAAGGTGAGACTTTTTACGCACATTTTTGTTTGTTTTTCTGTGGAGTGATGCTGTAGGCTGTTGTCCATGGCTTGGGCATAGATTTAAACAAAGGGCCGGTTTCCAAAACGGCCCCTTCTCTGATTCAAATTTCCTGTTGGTGGTGCATTGCCCATGCCGTTGTGGTCACAAATCTATAAAGTATAAAGATTTAGGTCACTTGGTTTGTTTTTTATGGCTCCTCAAAGTTGTACCTTTCAGAAGCTGTCTAAGTGTTGATAAAATGTGCATGTTATGTAAAATATTAATGAAAATCTAATCAAATGATGGTCACCGTAAAGAATACATTCATGGCATGATTGTGACAAAAAATCATGTTTCCATCGCGCCATTTGGCTGTTTTATGGAAGAAACAATCTCAAAAATGCCATTTTCGATGATAACATTTTAGACACAAAAACTGTGTTTTTTAGAGAATACACCCTTTTATGGGCGTTGGATGCAAACCAATTTTTATCCTATTAAACAGTACGTAATATGCTATTGATGAGAGGAAAAATCATCAAAATGTAAGTGGTGGAACATTTTCAAATGTTGGGTTGAATTAGCCTATGGTTGAATTGCCGATTTTCGACTTTCTTTAGATAATTAACAAAAAAACGAGAGTATTTGCTCGGTATGTTGAGAATATGTACACAGATATGAAAAAAAGTGAGAGAAACACTTTTTCATAAAAAAAATCCAAGATGGCTACTTCACAAGTCCCCGTGGTTGAAGACATTGGCTGACAAATAGACAGAACAACAAACAAAACGTGTTCCTTATGATTTTGGTTGGTTTTCGCATTTACGGGAGTGTTCATAGCTACGGGCGATTGTATAATACCTATATTTATAAGTTTGGTTAGTCACATGGTAACGGGGATCTTTCATATCGAGCCCCAAACATACTTTCGACATATGCACTCCGTTGCCGCATGGAAAACTATTTCAAGTTTTGTCGGAATTTCTTTACCTGTGGTTGTAATGGTCGAGGGTTTTCCAGCGTCCTGTAATACCCAAGGTAGTACAAGATACTGGAGATGTGCGCACACATTCCCATCGTTCTCTCTCCAACTGGGCACTGGCAGTAGTAGTCCTTTATTGGGGCCTCAACATCGGGTGAAACGGTGAACCGTATCCAAACGTTATATTTCGTTTGGCTTTTGTGTCGAGAATGTATTTGACATCGGAGAAGGTCTGGGGAGTGCTGGTAAAGCCACACCTCATAGTCTCCGTCATCACTTAAATGTTCGGCGATGTAACCAGGAGCCAGAGATATCTGATACGTTCCACACGTAATGGTTCTCAAGTAATCAAGATCGAGACGGGGAAACAGTACGGAAGATGCATCCATCTTGACAAACTCGGACCTTGCCCGTCTAGATAGATCCGGATCTGTCTTGACTCTCTGAGCTAAACCATTCGGTGTTGTCAAACGGTCCTTCATACGTTCAGCCATTAGCCTATCTTTGGCATCTCTCTCTGGAGATCTCTGGTAGATCGGTCCTCTAATACCATTCAGACAGGCTGTGACGGTTCGAAGCAAAGCCTCGATGACATTGATAAAGCTGTTAGACACCAATTGCGTTCGGAAGAACGTCCAGTGTTTCAGACGACCATGATAGGATTCCACAATCCACCTCGATTTGGTGATAGTTCTGTCAAGATTTGCTTGGACGTCAGAATGTTGACTTTGACCGGGTTTCAGGTATGACGGCATGCTAGCATTGAGGCCAGAGGCTTCGAGAACTGGTAGGACATCTCTAAAACCTCGGTCAACGACAACGTTGTCGTCTGGTTGTAGCCAAGTAACTAGCTTGTCCATGACTTTTTTTGTAATTGTAGCATCATTTTCGCTGCCAGTGAATGGTCCTACTGTGTCCAGAATGTAGCCATCTGGTAAGGCGATGCTCATGAATTTGAGATAGTTTCTCTTCTTCTGGCCACAGTAGGACATTCTCTGGAGCTTGTGGTCGGAGCTTTTCTGGATATAAATATAGGTGCCATCTAATATGGCAGTGGCTTTATCTCCAAAAAATGCTTCTGAAAAGACAGTATTGTGCCCGAGCAACTGTTCTCTTGTCAAGTGATCCGGACCTAGAAATTGTGGGACTATCGATGTGTCTAATGCCTGTACTATGGAGTGGAAAGTTTTGGACACACTTGACTTGGAAATTCCAAAAAGAGAAGAACACTGACTCCAGGAAATGTCGGTTTTCAGTTTTACCCAGAACAGTAATAGAGCATCGTGTGTAGTCTTGGTATATATACCAGATGAAAGATATGGGGAACAGTGCGAGTGGATTTCGAGGAACTGATCTTTGGACCAACCTGTCCAGGCCATGCATGCCGAGTCATCAAGAGAAGAAAAGCTTATTGTAAACGCAGACTGGTTCTGTGAAAGGACGTGCGACACCTCTAGGAGGTCATTAATGATTTCGGACGATTTTGATGGTAACTGAGATTCCAAGGAACCTCTACCATCAAGGACAACCTCTGTAGACGGATCTAAGTCGTTACCAATAAGGTGAATGGAGCAGACGCGGGATGAGGTGGGACACCACAGTTTGTGTGAATAGATCAGGTGATGTCTTGCACGTTTTGGTAAGACTGATGATTTTGTTCCATTTCTTGCAAAGGTAACAAGACAGAGACAGCATTTTTTGTGTGAAGATGATCCATTCAAAAGATCATGAAGGGTCAGCAACGGCAGGATATGGGACGGGGAGTCGTCTTCTTCCTCTATTTCCTGGTTCTGCTCGGGTTCAGGTTCAGGCTGATTTTTGTTCCGAAGATACTTCATGTAGCACTTCTGGCAAATAAGTGCTTGTTCCTTTGCTGACATCAATCCTTGTTGCACCAGCGTATCTAGGAGCCATTTATATTGTGGACTATTTACATTGCGTGCACTTCTGTTCTTATTGCCACTACGTTTCTTGAAGTATACTTGACACCCTTCTCCAACACATTTACCCTCCATCTTGAAACAATAACGATTGGTTTATGAAGCGTCGATAAAGTAACAAAATAGCAAGCCACCGATGATTGCTGTAAACAGCTAATACTTAGTAGTTTGGTACAATTATGCGAAAATGTGTGATAAATAACGAACAACTAATTACACAAAATAACAAGACAATATAATAAATCACATTCAATACCTCCAAGAAGCGCAGAATTGATTGATTACTTAGAACAAAATAAAGTATTTCATATGGATAATCTATCTATTCGATGTGGCGTGGTCGGCAGGCACAAAGAAAGTGAGACAAGTCAGGGTCCCAACCCTGACAGAGCCACAACGCTTTGGAGATGGGACAATAAAACAAGGAAAGTGAGACAAGAATAGCTAGCGTCGAGTCAATGATTCCGTAAACGTATAGACAAAGACAAGAAGATACGGATAAATGTACAAGGCCACACGATCAGAAAATTCAGAAGAGGACAACTTGAGATAGAACAGTATTCATGTATCAGGGTGTCCTCAGTGTAAATCTTTATATCGATACTGTTTATTTAGTCGTTACACATCATAAAACTGTCATGAAAATATCCGCTCTGATATTCAATATAAAAGTTTGTATATAATAAGCTATATAATAGGGTTTCAGACAAGGTTGTTACTCATTTCCCCTTTTCTTTCAATTTACAACCACATTCAGGCGGCGATATGAGAACGTTCCACCACATGGAATTAGCTGATTTTTGGTACACATATGAAACAAGTAAAGCTCTATCCGATTTTCTGATGGAAATTTGCATCCAAAACTATATAACGGGAGAAAATTGCAATTTTATGGCATTTTTCTTCATAATTGTGTCTCTGCAAGTGCATTTTCATCCGAGAAATTTTTTTTTTTATGTTTTATGAATAAACACGATGTTTTGGAAATATTTATCAAAAGAAATTTATACTATGTTGCGAATTACAATTTCGAGATAACCTTCTTTTATTTACGAACTTATGTCTTTGATGCTGAAATTGACAACTTTATAAAAATACATTTTCACTGAAATTATGAAATCTGGGTGTCGGAAAGGTGTAAAATTATTCTTCGGAAAAGAAAAAAACAGTAGTTGAGCCAGATAAGAAATTATACGGGGGCAGGCTCCTATGGAGAATTAACATTACTGGAAACAGGCCCTTTTAACACTTTTCACAGAGACATTAACTTTCCCAGAATTTGTTTCTTGTTGATAACTCCTATGTCTTCAAGCATAGTTTTTAACAAAATTTCCTCAAAAAATGCCTAAATGATAATTCTATGTCAATAATACAAAGCGAAGAATGTGCAGCGGTTTGGTCCAATATCAAATTATGGAACCCAAAACATTTTTTCTTTACAGGCAAGTGAACTGTTGCAAGCTGCCCGAGTGAATCAGAACCAGTCAGAAAAGAAGCGACAGCTCGGAGAAGCTTTAAAGGTATCACTAGATCTTATGGCATAGTAAAATACAAAATGGTGTTTTGCTCATAAGTTCAATAAATTTGATTGGTTTGAGAAAGAATATGTTCAGATTGATTGATAACAATTTGTAAGTCCTGTGTATCAGCAAGAATTAATTATTCTGTTCAGATGAAGATGGTACATATTGCTACGGAGATTTGGTTGTTTTTTGCTAATTTCATTCCATTCAATGTGTTGTTGATTGCACCACACATAGTTGTGTTGCTGATTGTAATGCACTTAAGTTGTGTCATTGACTGTATCTGACACTCACATCTTTAATAAACTTTAAAGAATCAGGAATATTAGTACATCTTGAATGCTGTATGTAATAAAATATCTTAAAATAGTAGCTTTACTGAAAACCTGCATGGATGTCATTTTGTCAGATAGAGGTTGTTATTAGTAATTTTAGAGTTTTAAAATTTGTCGCATGGTTTCTCCTGAAAATTTTGAAAGGTTGATAAGTACAATAAGTATGGCAAAAATGTTACCCAAGCTGTTTCTTTCCTAGCTGTATAAAGAAGTATCACAGCCTCTCCAACTGACAGTGGTATGTAGCCAGTTTGCCAATGTTCATTACTATGACGGGATTGTGGACCTGTGTCTGACCCTGGCACACAAGCGGGATCCCCAGCGTCTGGCCCTTCACTTCTACAGGAGTGGAGAGCCTCCTGAGGATCTACAGGGCATGTCGGCCTATATGTCTAGGTGGGTAATTACAGAACATTTTTATAGGACTCGATCGATATATCACAATTCTTATAGCCATCTGACTTTTTATGCCCCCGCCATAAAATGGGGGGGCATATAGTGTTGCCCATGTCTGTCCTGTCCCATCCATGAGCGGGAGGCATTTATGTCTTAGACATTTTCTAGTTTAATTGGCAATACAATTTACCTGGTATTCCATCAATTTGATTTTACAATAAAGATATGGCTTAAGTTTAATATTTAATCACACATTTCTTCAAATTTCATACAGTAATAGCCTTTATAAATATATAAAATGCCTAGAACCAAATCTCAATCCTTCATCTTCCATATTGCTTGAGAAAAGTTTTACTATTATACATATGTATTCAAATATGAAAAGGAGGAGTTTTACCAAAGTGGATTTCCAGTTAATCACATCCAGTGTGCTTGAAGTGTGTTCCAATGATTTAATTGAATTGGATTAGCATTGCAACTTCCTGCAAAGTCAAAGGAGAAAATTTGGGTTTTCATGAATTTGAAACACTAGGTAATAGTAATACATGATGTACAATATTTCTTAATTTCCTGCTGAAGTTTACTTTGTAAAAACGATATAGTAATTAACTTCATCAATTAAGCCATTAAAATACTGTACAATCTACACTTGAATCTTTTTTAGTTGGGGTATATTTTTTCAATGCTAAAGAAAAGTTTTATTTTTGGATTAAATTGAAAAAGAAGATGATACTCAGTTGTCAGTTATAAATCTTCAGAAACTTTTGTTTATTGGGGTATTATTAATCTTGCTGTAAAAAATGTGTACATAAATTGTGATGTCTGTTACAGAATGGAGTGCTATAACTGTATCACCGGTACACTGGGTTTCCTGTCCACAACAAGCACCTCCTTCCCTCAGGCCCCCAAGGTTCCTGGACCACCGCCCACGCCTGACCCCAGCAGGCTCTCCCCCCAGGAGGCAGATCAGTTTGTAAGTGCTTGGTGAAACAGCTATGACAAATATAAAGTTCAAAACACAACTCGAATAAACAGGTTGTATCAAATTTATGGCAAAGCCTCTGTTCATGTATTAGAAATGTTGGAATTATTGTCTAAGCTTAAACTACAGCTTGAATAAACAAGTTGTACCATATTTGTGGATAAAATTTCTGTAACAGAAATGTCCGTTCAATTCAGTTTCCCAGTTGAAATTATTATGTAGTAAAGGACTGTTTATCAAGTTTTAAAAGGGGTCCAGGTGTTTCAGATTATTTTTCAATATCTTCATATCATTTCCATTACAAATCTGAATGTGGACAGCTAAAAGTTAAAAGTATAGTAGTTAACTCCATGTGTTAATTGTCTCCACAGAAGTCGGACATATTCCGGCTGGCCCTGAAGTGTGACGATGAGCTGTTCCATGTGGCCCTATATGACTGGCTGTACAGTATGAACCAGACAGAGAAACTGCTGGAGGTAAGCTGGACTGTATCTTGTCCTGATATCAAGTTCATATTCCTTAAAGCAAGAGTAAGCATGACTTTCTCTCTTCAAGTTGGGTATAATCACACAGGTTACTGTAAAGGTGACATTCTTTCTCGTTAGTAGACGTGTGTAGACACAACGTTTCTTGTATTTCACAAGTTTTTCGCTTTTGGATGCTAGAATTAAATTGTAAAAAAGTACTTTCATTTTTATAGTGTAAATATATATGATAAATTCTAAAATGCATTACTGACATGCTTTATTTGTTTTTATGAATTAAAAAGATATATATATCTGTAGTTATGTGTGTAAAACTTTGTTTTTAGATTCAGTCACCCTTCATGGAACCATACCTGAAAAGGAAGACAGGTTACCAGTCAGAAGCTGTTGGAGCATTAGATATGTTGTGGAAATACTACGAAAAAAGTCGTAACTTCCCTGCAGCTGCAAAAATACTGTCGAGATTAGCAGAAAGACATGGGTAAGATGGCAGATATCTACAAGGTTTATGCTATATCTTGTTTAAGGTGTCAACAGGAAGATCCTATTTTGAAATCTAGATTTGTATTAAGAATAATAGTTAAAGATTAATCTTGACAGCAATACGTAATAAATATATTTTGAGAACTAGCAGGTCATTGTTAGTGTCAGACATGCAGTTTAAGGAAGAGAACAAGGTAGGAAATGGCTGTTGAGTCATTTGTGTGTGTTATACTGACTGGCTGTGTTGGTGTTACAGGACAGACGTTCGGCTCCAACAAAGGATAGAGTATCTATCCAGAGCTATCATGTGTGCCAAAAGTTCTACATCTCGCACCAGCTCGGCCGCTGAGGGAGAATTCCTACATGAACTGGAGGAGAAGATGGAGGTAGCGGTTTAATGATGCACTTGTTCCTTGAATACAGAGGAATTATAGATTATAACCTTTTTAAAAAACCTGATTGGATATATGGTTTCTTTGAACATTCCATTTCTGAATTTTTGGTTTCTTTAAACACATCCTTTCAAGATTCTAAAAAAAAAAGAAAGAATAATAATCTTTTAAAAGGTTGTAGGCTTTTAACGAATTTTGTGAGTATCAACATGATTATCTTTAAGCTGTAGAAGGATTCTTTTTAGCTCTGGTTGGTTGTCGTAGCAGTTGGACAATAATAATAAAAATGGTGCTTTACATTCCAATTCTTTAAATATCTGTAGCTTGCACTGTAAATTTCAATCAAATGTAGTAAAAAAAATCGATGTTTTTTAGAGTGAAAATGTTTACTTGAATAAATCTTTATTTTACAGGTTGGCAGACTTCAACTTCAAGTTCAAAACGCTTTGAGTAAAAGAAGGGATCGCAATCAGCAGTCTATCACTGAAGCTTTGAGTCGACTGGACTCGGATCTGCTGGATCTAACACTGGTAAGCAGACAGCACATTTCACCCCTTTATCACGAAGAGGCTTATAACAGGTGACAAGCAATAGAAAATCTTTAGGGACAAATTTATCTAGGAACATAGATGTGTAGCTTATCAATGTTATATTGATCAGATCGGACTAGATTAGTGGTAGAGCATTAGTTTAGGATTGGGATCCTGTGTTCAAATTTCTGTCTTGGCCTTAATATCATCCTTCAGACCTTTGTTCTATTTGTAAATATTATATTATTCCATCTACTTGGGTATGTTTTGATATAAATCCTTCACAAACTAATATGTTGTTTAACTGACACGTTAAATAACCTCTGTGTTTTATTTCAGTTGTATGAGGAGTTTGCAGACAGATATGACTTATCCGAGTGTAAATTGGCCATTGTCCACTGTGCTGGGTTGTTTGATGCAGCCCTAGTAGAAAACCTGTGGCAGAGTATCATTGATAAAGGTAAGCTAGTTTCTTATACCTGTGGCAGAGTATCATTGATAAAGGTAAGCTAGTGTCTTATACCTGTGGCAGAGTATCATTGATAAAGGTAACTAGTGTCTTACACCTGTGGCAGAGTATCATTGATAAAGGTAAGCTAGTGTCTTACACCTGTGGCAGAGTATCATTGATAAGGTAAGCTAGTGTCTTATACCTGTGGCAGAGTATCATTGATAAAATTAAGCTAGTGTATTATACCTGTGGCAGAGTATCATTGATAAAGGTAAACTAGTGTCTTACACCTGTGGCAGAGTATCATTGATAAAGGTAAGCTAGTGTCTTACACCTGTGGCAGAGTATCATTGATAAAAGATAAGCTAGTGTCTTACACCTGTGGCAGAGTATCATTGATAAGGTAAGCTAGTGTCTTACACCTTTGGCAGAGTGTCATTGATAAAGGTAAGCTAGTGTCTTATACCTGTGGCAGAGTATCATTGATAAAGGTAAGCTAGTGTCTTACACCTGTGGCAGAGTATCATTGATAAAGGTAAGCTAGTGTCTTATACCTGTGGCAGAGTATCATTGATAAAGGTAAGCTAGTGTCTTATACCTGTAGTAGAGTACCATTGATAAGGTAAGCTAGTGTCTCACACCTGTGTCAGAGTATCATTGATAAAGGCCTGTGGCAGAGTATCATTGATAAAGGTAAGCTAGTGCCTTATACCTATGGCAGAGTATCATTGATAAAGGTAAGCCAGTGTTTTACACCTGTGGCAGAATATCATTGATAAAGGTAAGCTAGTGTCTTACACCTGTGGCAGAGTATCATTGATAAAGGTAAGCTAGTGCCTTATACCTATGGCAGAGTATCATTGATAAAGGTAAGCCAGTGTTTTACACCTGTGGCAGAATATCATTGATAAAGGTAAGCTAGTGTCTTACACCTGTGGCAGAGTATCATTGAAAAAGGTAAGCTAGTGTCTTATACCTCTGGCAGAGTATCATTGATAAAGGTAAGCTAGTGTCTTATACCTATGGCAGAGTATCATTGATAAAGGTAAGCCAGTGTTTTACACCTGTGGCAGAGTATCATTGATAAAGGTAAGCTAGTGTCTAACACCTGTGGCAGAGTATCATTGATAAAGGTAAGCTCGTGTCTTTACCTGTGGCAGAGTATCATTGATAAAGGTAAGCTAGTGTCTTTACCTTTGGCAGAGTATCCTTGATAAAGGTAAGCTCGTGTCTTTACCTGTGGCAGAGTATCATTGATAAAGGTAAGCTCGTGTCTTTACCTGTGGCAGAGTATCATTGATAAAGGTAAGCTAGTGACTTATACCTTTGGCAGAGTATCATTGATAAAGGTAAGCTAGTGCCTTATACCTATGGCAGAGTATCATTGATAAAGGTAAGCTAGTGTCTTATACCTGTGGCAGAGTACCATTGATAAAGGTAAGCTAGTGTTTTACACCTGTGGCAGAGTATCGTTGATAAAGGTAAGCTAGTTTCTTATACCTGTGGCAGAGTATCATTGATAAAGGTAAGCTAGTGTCTTATACCTGTGGCAGAGTATCATTGATAAAGGTAAGCTAGTGTCTTATACCTGTGGCAGAGTATCATTGATAAAGGTAAGCTAGTGTCTTACACCTGTGGCAGAGTATCATTGATAAAGGAAAGCTAGTGTCTTATACCTGTGGCAGAGTATCATTGATAAAGGTAAGCTAGTGTCTTACACCTGTGGCAGAGTATCATTGATAAAGGTAAGCTAGTGTCTTATACCTGTGGCAGAGTATCATTGATAAAGGTAAGCTAGTGTCTTACACCTTTGGCAGAGTATCATTGATAAAGGTAAGCTAGTGTCTTATACCTTTGGCAGAGTATCATTGATAAAGGTAAGCTAGTGTCTTACACCTTTGGCAGAGTATCATTGATAAAGTTAAGCTTGTGTCTTACAGCTGTAGTAGAGTATCATTGATGAAGTAAGGCTGGTCAGTGGTGGAAAGTGAATTCAATACATATGTACTACAAAAATGCACATCTTGAAAACAGCTACTCTCATGGTTTCAGAAAAATTTCAATCAAAATTTACCTTTTTTGTAAAATTAAGCCTGTGTAGTAAAATTTGGATGGTGTTGGATCATTATTTACCACATGTATGTTGATATGCTTCAAATATCATTTCTGGCTCTACAATTATGGTCTGGCATTGTGGTAGGGTATTAGTATGCGTTGTTCATTAAACCTTATTGTAAACAATGGACTTCAAAGTTAAAATACACATCTTTGCCTTTTGCAGAAGTAGATGCTACCATGGGTATGGCTACTCCTATGAGAATCACAAATATCAGGAACAAGATGGAACCAATTGGAAAGCAGTACATCAAGACAGAACGATACTTCCCCTTGGGTAAGAGAGTCTGAATAAGTACCACTGAAATAGCATTTAGTATAACTGCTATCATAATTGATTTAACTGATGTCAACTTCTTCATGTAATGATAATGTAAACATTTACCTCACATGATTTTGTCTGTAAAACTGAATTAAAGTATAAATTTGATATTAGAAATATCTTAGTACCGCATAATAATTCAGTAATGAAAAGTGATGGTAACAAGTGGAAAGAATCAAGATGTATATCAATGACTGAACTTAATGATACCACCTGTCTATAACAACCATTTTATACCACTTCTCAAAGTGGTCGCAGTAGACAGGTTTGACTACATGTTCATGTACCTCACATTATTTTGTTTGGAAAAGCGAAATTTATAATTTGATTCAAGAAATGTTTTTGAAGTGCAGTGGACTAGATCAGTTCATTGGTGCAATTATTGCGGCATTTAGCGGACGATTGTTAATACTCTGCAGAAGGTTTTTGATATACAGTATGTTGCCGTGTCCTTTTAGCGTTCCTGGTGAAGTATGTAGAACAGCGTAGTTGTGAGCTAGACTTCACAGCATCCTGGGTGTACGAGATGATGCTAGAGATAGGTGTGCCACCACCTAAACTGCTCGAGATTTATGACAGAATGTTCAAGTCTCGGGTAAGTCCTGTGTATTCAATCCTACTCTATTGCTCTAATGGTTTCCTGAGAATATAATGTGTAAACTGTGGCAAGTTTAATACAAATGCATAAGTTAAGTTTTAGTGCAAGCATGATCAGTAAAAATTCAATGATGTTAGTTAACAATAGCTACTTTTAGTACGTTATTAAATGAAATAGCAATACTAATACCGGGTGCAATAATTTCACCTTTTATCGAAAACTAAATCTACTTTTGATGATACCTACAATTCTATGGGGCACATACATGTATATATACCCCATTATCAGGGCTATGTTAACAAAATCATTGTGCAGTTTGTCTAGATTCTTCTTACGTTTTTATTCAGGACCCCTATTGGCAGACAATTCAACGACCGTTGCATTTGCTGGATGTTTTATCAAATCTGCTGGCACACCTCACAGCTAACCCATCACTTATACCTGTGTATGAAAGGTGAGTGGAAATCCCTTCAGACACTTACTAAAGCCATGCTTTATGTGTAAAAAGGATGACCGTGTCTTATAAAATACACCAATTAATGATATCCAGATGAGGGATTGTCATATCAACATTTATCTGAACTTAGGTCAGTTGATTTTTTTTGTACCTAAATGAAACACTGTTAACTTAAGGTTATAGGATTGTGTCACCATTTCTCAGTAGAATTTCTTCAAATTTTGTAGTTATATTGCTTTAAAGTAAAGAAAATTTTCTGCCACAAAAAAAATATAGGTTGTCAGAATTTTAAGGATTTTAAATTGAAATTATGTAAAAAGGAGTGAATTTTGAAAAAAAAATGAAAGACAATATTTTTACAAAATAATGTCAATAAAAATGATACTGACATATATTAGTATTGCATTGATGATGTATATCAATTTTATAAATGCTGAAATTGTGTAAAATTAATTCTCTATACACGATATAAAAATTGATATTTTATAATAAAACCATATACACAGTAATTGCAGGTAAGAGTTAAAGAGAAAAACTTCACAGTAGTGAAATAGGTAGCCGGTTTCCTGAAGTACAGAAAAATGGACACATGTGACTCATTGATAAAAAAACCCTGAATTAATGCCTGGATTGCTTTGAAATACTTTAATATTGAGAGAACACACTGTTCTGTCAATAATAAACATACAATATTCATCAGTTTAATATTAAACATTAGAATTTGCGGAAATTGTGATACTGTCTCCCTACATTGGATTTTCAACTAGGGGTGTACTTCCTGTTTCCGTTTATCAATACACTCCAATGACCTTAATACTGTAAAGCTGTTTCCAAATTCATTTGCAAGGAGAGACAGTTGTGAATTTTAAGTTATAACATATCCCTATTCCTACTCCATTCAACAATGTACATTGATCTCTGATCTTTTTGTGAATTTATATCCTAATGGATGTGTTTTTGGGAGCAGGAGCACTAATTCCCATTCATGGTGATTTGTAGTATTGAAAATATATTGATATTCACTTTAAGATAAACAACAGGGAGAACATGCATCATATCCTGATCTATATCACAGTTAAACTTTGTCAAATTATCACCATTTACCCAGTGATATTTTGCATTGAAACAGGTTTGGTATTATAGTGAGAAAGACATGTAAAGAAATTCTTAAGAAAATGGTTCAGAAGATGGACTATTGACAAAGATTTCAGAAAGAGATAGCAGATGTAATAAGATTCATTATCTGGAGATTTGATTATAGGAAGATTTTATTTTGGCTGAGTGTTAAGATAATGTAGAGGCGTTCATTAACGAGTCACTGATATAATGTATTTATTTTCAAGGAGACCATTCTCCACGTTGTGTCTGGACTTTGTGGCTACGTACCTAGTGGAACTACAGACGATGAGGATGGCTGACCACCATCGCCGACTTGTCAGTCAGTTTAAACGTCTACAGGCCGAACTTGAGAGGTTGTGACGAACAGTATGAGAGATATGGGAACAAATGATTGGAGTAAAAGATCCTTTACATAAACAGGCGCCCATTATGATTGGTGCTTTGTGGGACCAACAAATGCCTGTAATGAGAGATGCAAGAACTCTTCTTCGAAGTAAAACAGCGTTTTTGAAAATAATGGCACTTGATACACAAAGATGAGGCAGATACAAATTTATGTCTTGATGTCAGAAGTTTAACAGAGTATGATCTGAATAAAAGAGCAAATGTGGAATTCACAAGGAGAAGTCAAATGAAGGATCATTCGAGTACTTCAGCAGCGACACGTTGTGAGTGAGGCACCAGGTGAGTGCCTACTGTATGCGATTCAAACACGTTGATATGCTAACTTTGAGTAACAGACATCCACTGTTCTTGAGGAATGACGCGTTACCTTATCGAACACTATTATAACGGATGTTCAGTGATGTAAGATTGGCGAGAGATGGAAATACAGACAATGTGATGTTGTAAATGTACAGTTACTTAGTTTTTGTGAGATTCAATTGCTTGGTATGAATTTTCCAGGAGTCAATTGCAAATTAAATTCTCAAATTTTTATTCTGACATTGGAAGTGTTAAAGATAACTTTCGTGTTGGAACTTCTGTGGTAATAAATAATTTAATTGTCTGAAACTTGATCCTGAAAATAGATTTTTGTGGAATGTTAGTGTTTACCTGCTAAATGTTTATCAGGGAAATCATGAATGAAAATCTTTGGAAGAATCAATATATAAAGTGTTGTATGTCAGCTACAATTATCAAACTGGAATCTTCAATTGCAAATCAGGAAATGAAAAGAATTTGTTTTTTAAGTAACAACAATATTTCTTAATCACTAATACTTGTAAAAGCATCTAAATGTTATTACATTTAATAGCATCTAAAGTGGAACTCAACAATTTTCATTTCATATTGTGATGAAAGATTGATCTGTACTGAATCATGTTTATTTTTTTTCATTTTGTGAATAAATGAATTTCACAAGACTTGTTGAATCTGTTAAATTTTACAATTTAGAACAAAATAGAATTTACCTTCACAACTTGAAGTTTCTGTTAAACTTTTAACACTAAAACTTCATACATTTCTTCCTTACCAAAAGTGTTTGCTAGAGATTATTTTTCAGTTTTTATACGCTGGTCAAATTTGATGGAAGTATTATGGTATGGGGTTGTCCGTCTGTTCCAGTTTTTGAGATGTGTAAATATAGGTATATACAAAGGCTAGCTAAGGGTATTGCACAAACTAGAAATTTCCACCTATTATTAAAAGCAAGATTAAACTATAACAAAATTGAACAAGAGTACCGCGGGGCGGAACAATATACCCCCGTCGAATGCCATATAGTGTTATATACTTTCTTACATTGAAATAAGATCGGCATAATTCTAAGAGTGGTCAGCTGACATGCTATAAAAAATGTAGTAGAAAATCTCCGGACAAAAAATCAAATACTGTAATGAACAAAAGGCAAGAACTTTTGCAAAAAATCTTTTAAGGGAGACATAACTTCATATCTTGATTATAATGTATACCAAGTTTCAAAGAGATCCGTTCTTTTCAAGCAAACACAACAACATATCATGATTATTTATCCTACTAAGTTTCAAAGAAATCCGTCCAAAAATGTCAGCTAACCACTCTTTGAATGAGGCTGATCTTATTTCAATGTAAGAAAGTATATAACACTATATGGCATTCGACGGGGGTATATTGTTCCGCCCCGCGGTACTCTTGTTCAATTTTGTTATAGTTTAAGCTTGCTTTTAATAATAGGTGGACATTTCTAGTTTGTGCAATACCCTTAGCTAGCCTTTGTATATAACTATATTTACACATTTCAAAGAAATCCGTCAAAAAATGTAGGAGATCTCCAGACAAAAAAAATCAAATACTGAAATGAACAAAGGGCAATAAATTTTGGAAAAATTGTCGAATCAAAATTCTTTTATAGGGGGGGAAACAACTTCATATCATGATTATATTGTATACCAAGTTTCAAAGAGATCGGTCGAAAAATGTAGGAGTAGATTGCCAGACAAACAAAAGTTTCCGCCGGACGGACAGACAACCCCATACCATAATACTTCTGTCAATTTGACGGGCGTATAAAAATGGTTGATATATCAGGTAATGGATTCCATACCAGTATATAAATACTGTACTAATTTACCTTTCTTGGATTACTTTATCAACTTCAACAGGGGAAGGAATAAACAACACCAAACTCGTTAATCAACACCGGACAAAATAATCAACATTTTACTAGTTGGCCTTTCAAAATATCACCGGCACAATATATCACTAACAAATACGAGCTTGAGTCATCAATTCAAAAATCAAACAATAAAATTCCATTAACTGTTTTAAACTAATCCTTGATTTCACCATTATTTAAAGGAAAAGCTAAAAAAAAACAAAAAAAACCCGATGGAGCTAACCGTACATGAATATATATGCAAAAAAAAATTTGGGAGAAATCTAGAATTCAGATGGGCGTCAATTTAACTCCTGTTTTATCAAAAAGGCCAGATTACTTCCAGAAAGGGTTCTGTTTAGTCAGTCCTGTTTAACTGGCTAAGTGTTTTCATTAATTTCAATTTGAACTTAAAATTTTACTTTTCTAAGATAAGGATCCGCCGTGACCGAGTGGTTCGTCTTGATTACTAGGTTGCAGGTTCGAGGTCTAGGTGGGGCAGTCGTCAGGTACTGGCCGCAGGTTGGTGGTTTTTCTCCAGGAACTTGGTTTCCTCCACCACCAAAACCTGGCAATTTACTTAAAATGACCTTAATGTAATAGGATGGGCACAAACAAACCAAATTGTGTATAAAGATGACTTCACGCAGAAAGCTAAATTGAGGCAGGTGACCTATGCAATACAAGAATTCCACGGAAGTGGATGTGTCGCTTGCGCAGGAAGCTGGGAGGTTACAAAGAAATAGATACACTTTTCATTTTAAGAAATAATGTTAAAAGTAAGCAATAATCATAGATTATGTTTTTGGATGGCATCATTTTGTTATATAATCAGTTATTCTGGGAAGAATACTTTAGTTTTAAGGAACTTGCTATCTATTTATAGTAACAGTGACCTTGACCTTTGACCTTCGGACCTGAAAAGCAATCCCAAGCAAGCACTTTTGGTAAGGAAGCACTGCATGATGTTTGAGTTTGATCAACCCAAGGAAACTCAAGTTATCGCACGAAAACCTCTGTGCGGATGACGCCGACATAGCGATACCTATGTGTCACCAGCTTTTCGCAGGCGACACAAAAATGAGGACCAATACAACTTTCCTTTTTTTCAATATTTTATTTTAACAAATTGAAAAATTTAAATTTGCTTGATTGCATCAAAACATTTCTTATCACAGAACCCTTAACAATTACCACCACTTAATTGTTGAAGTGCATTCCAAATGTCAGGCATGTGATGCAGAAAGATACAGTTATCTCACAACACTTAATAACAACGGGAAAATGATTCACTGATCGATCATTAAAAAACGTGAGGTTTTGAGGACTTTCTGTAAATTCATGTCCCACGCCATGAGACTTTATCAGAAGTAAAAATCTGTGAGACTTGGCATGTATGCCATACAGTACATACGTTTTTTATAATGTAAGACACCTCCCACTTACTATAGCTATATAGCCAATAGCAATGACTTCAAAAAGTTGAATTTATGATATGTTAAATGAATACTGTATACCAGGAAACTTTCACTGAAGTTTAACTTTTGCCTTTTGTTTTTTGCCATCTGTTAAGCACACAATATACCATACATAGTACTTTACTTACATTTGAAAGGCGAAAATAATACTACGTGAAAACTGATTATATCAGCGTAGGGCGAAAATTTGACTGGGCGAAGGTTTCCAGCATACAGAACTGATATTTTACAACAGTGCAATGTGTACATCTCTAACACACAAGTTCGATTTACAAAGTTTACAGACTAGACAGGGTTCTGTTTAGACTTGTTTCAAATAGCACGGACTGAATTTTCAATCACACTAACGCACTTGAATATTAAAGGACAATATGGCTATACATTATTGGTCTGTGTAGGGAGTATTATTGGACTATTTGTTTATAAAAGGTTTGAGTTTATGCTGAAGTTCGGATGGTTTGAAGACTCCGTGCTCTGTGATGATCCCGCCTGTGATGAGCTCGGCAGGTGTGACATCAAATGCAGGATTCCAGCAGTCTATACCTGAATTGTTAGACAGTTTACAGGTAAGTAAAAGCTACATTACATCATTAACGCATCATTAAATACAAACTTTTATAAGCAGCATACTTTCATAAACTTAAGAATTCTATTTCGGATGAAAAGATAACCACATTACAATAAAGATTTTTTTAATAGAACAAAGAATGCAATCAACGACTTGGCTGCAAAATACTTTTCCTCTTATCAACCTAAATAAATGGCTATGAATATATTTCCTCACCATACTTTATTACCATGCCGCTTTTTTGGAAAGAGCTTGCTATACTACCTATGTGGCTACGATTGGTATCTTTCTAAACCAGATTTTTCGGAAAGTGACATTGTATATTTTATTTCTTACCTGGTGCTGCTATTGGTATAATAATGAACTTGAGCGTTTATACTGTTCCCTTGCCTGTGTTTCTTACTTGGCGCTGCTATTGGTATAATAATGAACTTGAGCGTTTATACTGTTCCCTTGCCTGTGTTTCTTACCTGGCGCTGCTATGGGTATATTTTGGATTTTTGTGAGCTCTTGAGCAGGTCTCTCTTCAATGATAATATTTTTTCCAGTCTCTTTACTAGCATCATACGATGACGTCGGACAGGCAACGTAGAACAACACATTGTGATATTTGGCGCTAATGGCGAGCTGGTAGGTGCCAATCTTGTTGGCTGTGTCTCCATTAGCTGCCACCCTGTCTGCTCCGACCACCACTGCCGAGATCTTCTTGCGCTCCATCAACATGGCAGCCATGCTGTCGCAAATAAGAGTGGCTGGTATTTTCTCATACACAAGTTCGTAAGCAGTAAGTCGAGCTCCCTGGTTGTATGGCCGAGTCTCTGTACAATAAGCATGATCAAGATCACCATTCTCATGAAGTGCTCGAATCACACCTATAAAAATAAAAAAAAATAATTGAGTAGCCATTTTCAGTGAGTCAGTCAGAATGTAATCAAACATTTTTTCAAGAATGGGCTGACGACCACAACAAAGAACATTAAGTCAACACATCATTCTTACATGTATGGAAGATGAGGTTAGAAATACATACGAGTGGAAATGATACCATCCCTGATAATTAGCCCTACCAAGGTAGGCAAATTAACACTTTCACCCCCATGTAACTTTAGTAGACTCTACCATGTATTGATATGGATGAGTCCATTATGGTCTACAGTGGTGAAAGGGTTAACAAATATCATCTTGATCCCATTTCGTTGGGGTAATTCTGAAGCTAACTGAACCCCATTTCATAGAAACTGATACAAAAACATAACTAGGCCAAGATGCTCAGTACATGAACATATGGAAGATATTTTGAATAGATATTATGGTAATCTGTATTCTTTTCTATTAGTCAAATTGCCTCACCCACAAGTTACCATTTTGTTGGACTTGATATCTAAAATAATGTTATATTAATATAAGATATCCAAGTATCAGTTTTGAAGGTCTGCCTGTGTCATTACCTAGAGCTGTGCCGTACCCTGCCGTGGCTAAAGAGCCAGTGTTGCAGTGTGTGAGGACTGTAAATTTGTTGTGAGGGCACCGCTCCATGATGTCCGTTGCACCATACTTTGCTAGGGCATGGTTGTCACGAACATCAGCTTCAAGCATTTCTTCAATTTCACTGACAACTCTGAAATACAAATGAACTGCACTGTGAGTGATTTAAAACAAAATTAATTATAAATTATCAAATAAAAAAAGTGTAATTAATGTAAAATGATCAGAGAAAGGCTGAACTTTCAAAATAAAGAAAGATAAACTCACCGTTGTCGACATTATACCATTAGTCTACGACTACTATTAAAGATGATTTTTTTTAGCAATATACATTGTTGATACCATATGTCAGAAATGAATGACATTGCAACATACAGGACTTCTAGGACTCATCGGAGAGGCTAGGGGCTAAAAAGTTGAAAATCAAAATTGACCTAAACTATTGTTGAAACAGAAAGGAGTGCATAATAACCCTTAATTAATGAATTTCAAAAATTAGAAGAAGAGTACTGGTAATTTGTTTTGACTTAAAACAGATTGAAGGACGTTCATAAAGATGGGGAATTTTCACAAATGAACATGATATCTGGAAAACCTTGTTATACTACCACAAATGAGGGACACGTATGGAAAAAAATGGTAGTTTTGACTGGATTTGCAAGCAAATTGATAGGATGACCCAAATATCATGTATATTGAACACAAAAATATTTTTGATACAAAATTTGAAAATACAATTGTAACATTGATCAAAATTTTATGATCTAGACCTGTGAATGATCTGAATTTTGGGGATACTTCACAAAATTATATACATGTGACATTAATTCAAATACACTTATTTCCCCCCGCAGTGTCCCATCAAAGGCTATATTGATTTCTTTTTTAGTTCTGATCACACAGAAATTTATGAAACTATTTTACACTATCGAAAAAGAGACCCTTTGATGACAAAGTTCAAAATGTTTGATAAAGCACCTTAGGACCTTTCCATCGGTAAAAACTATATGACTCTAGCCTTATTGGGTCTAAAGAAGATTGTTTAAATTTTAAACAAACCGCTCCTTTTCGGCACTACCAAGCTCTTGGTTAAAACAAAATTTCACTAATTCCTTTTTTGCATACTAAGTAGATTAAATAGAGCAGGGATTCACACTTTAACAGTCAATATTATTTAACTGTTATAAACAAGGTTTGGTTTAACTTCAGGATCAACGATAGACCAAAATCCCATCTTTATGTATTTTTAATTGGGTATAACCTAGGACTTTTATAATTAATAATAATAATTTGAGATTCCTATATACCACTTATCACAACCTAGTTCATAGGTCATCCCAAAGCGGTTCACAAATTATTATCCGTGGTTATGAGGCCTTTGCAACCAGCCAATATCTTTCTTTGTTTTCACAACGGCGTCCCTGTTTCGGAACCAGCCTGGCAAATTCAAAAAGTGAGTACTGTTCACTGTTACTACAATGCATATAATCCCGATCGTCGCGCTTGTCATTTCACTTTCACAAATGGCTTCTAACCCGAGAAAACGTTCGATATTTTAGTGTTCATCGTCAAAAAAGAAAAAGTATGCCTATAATTATAATGCTTCTTGGTAATAAGATTATGACTGGCTTCAGAAGAGAGACCCGATCATGCCTATTGTAAACTGTGTACCAATCATTTTTCGGTAGCTTCGGGTGCTACGTACGATAGCAAAAGGCATGCAGTTAAAGAACCCTTTGAGAATGATCTTAGGTTTGGTGTGTTGTGAAGGCTAATGAAGGCATGTTTGGTACTTTCAGTGAGTAATGCTGACTCTGAGAGAACATTTTCCATGTTGAAGAAGTTCCAGACAGAAGGGAGATCTGAATAAGGAAATGATACAATATGTGCTTTGTTAGGTGCAAAACTAAATCAACATGGTTTATGCTTTCAGTATGCACCTAGGAAAAGAAAAACATGTATATTGATTAAGAATATGTAATAAAACAATGAAGGTGTGATAAAATGTTTTGTTAATTTCAAAAAAGTCATTGATCTTTCCAGAAGACAAAACATATTACGCCGTAAAGCCGAGACCCCGCAAAATTATTAAATTTCCACACAAATTTTCGTTCGCGCGTTATCACCCCCCACAGAATTTCTCAATGGGGGTCATGACCCCGATTGGGAGATTCAAAGGTTAGCAGGTCTGCATCACCCTGTGCATTTTGGTTATTGAGAAGAAGTTGTTTAAAGTTTTTAACATATTTGACCCCTGTGACCTTGAAAATAGATGAAGGTCATTTATTTGAACAAACTTGGTAGCCCTTCATCCCAGTTTGCTTCTGGCCAAATATCATCACCCTAGGCCTTTTGTTTATTAAGAAGAAGTCGTTTAAAGTAAAATATTGGCGCCCGACGGACGGACGGACGGACGAAAGACGCCGCACCACAGCATAAGCTCACTTGGCACTTCGTTCCAGGTGAGCTAAAAAGTAAAATCATGGAACTTATAAGACTGGCTTAGCAACAGTAATATGGAAACCAATTTGTCCAAAATTGATGAACCGTCCTTTGTTTGCGCTTCACTGTTTTAAAATCAGGAAAATACCAATTAGGTACCAGTTAACAGTTCTTCTTAATCATACTTACGTCTTTTTAAAGTCTTCAACATTCAGGTCTCCTTTTTTCAGCAGAGTGGAAATTCGCTGCTGGAATTGTTTGGCAGAGGAAGCCATGTTGACCGCCGTAGGTCTGGCAGTGACAAGATAGTCCAGTCTCTCACTGATAAAGTTTCCCAGCTCCTCTGTGGAGGTGAAGTCTGTTTTCAGCAGCTCAACAGCAAGGCTCAGACAGCCTACTATTGCTATGGCGGGTGCTCCCCGTACCTGTCCAATCATAACAACAGAGTACATTTAAAGTTGTATTTTACCTTACCCATCATACTTGTGTTTTTTGTAAGCAAACAAAAGGGCAAAACCAAGTGGGTTAAGAAACAGCCAGTCAATACTTTACCCTCTAAAAATCAATGTAGTTCTTCCCTAAAAACAACACCAAGTGGGGAAAGAACCAACCAGCCTGAAGTTTCCCCTCCCATAAAAGTAACAAGCAAATTCGTGGAATTTATATCCCCCGCTTGCAGGACATATTGTAGGTTAACATTATTGAGGTTAGGTTTAATATGTGAGTATCGTGCTGTTGAGACATAATGTATAGCTTGAAACTTGTTATCAAGTTTGAAGGAATTTGGCTAACATTTGCTAGTTATTAGGCGGAAACAGCAGATGATGACAATTTCGTTATTCAAGGGGCAATGACTCTACCAAATGGAGTCCGATTAAGGTGGTCATTGAACTTGGCCGAGCCCTTTAGGCATTCAACCCTGTGACCAAGTTTGAAGAAGATTGGTTAATATTTGTTGTAGTTATTGCACAGAAACGAAGCGTGACAGACAGACAAACCAAAATTAATATCCTCCGTTTCGGTGAAAGCGGGGGATAAAAATCAGTACAAAGGAAAAAATAATCTGCCAGCTAATAGTTTCTCCTCTAAAAGTCTATACCAAATGGGGTTGGGAAAATTAATTAAATAGTTCTTCCCTAAAAATAACACCAAGTGGGGAAAGAACCAACCAGCCTGAACGTTTCCCCTCCCATAAAAGTGAAATTCAGTACAAAGGTTGAACAAATCTGCCAGCTTATAGTTTCTCCCCTGAACACCAAAACCAAAAGGAGAAAGAATTCAAAGAACCAACCAGCCAATAGTTTTCCCCTTCCCACAAACCAATACCAAAAATTTAAAGAGGCAGGAAAGAATCTGCTACCTAATTTTCCCCTGGGAAAACACTATCAAGTGGTGGGTGGGTGGACAGGCGAGGGAAAAGAATCGGCTAAGAGGAAACTTTCAGGCAATGACAAAATAATGACCTCTGTTTCATGTGTTTATAATTAAAATCTAGCCAACTGATTGGTCTTTTATTTCAAACTCTAGTTCTGTCAATGAAATTTTAAAATAACTTTCATGATATTTTGAATTCTGTTATTTCGAAGTGTGTAAAAATTGTGAAATTAAAAAGTTCTAAATTACCAGTCTGGTTCGTCAATGACTTGATTGCCGCGGTAAGAAACAGCAGGCATTACAGGATTATGTGAGGAAGGGTGATCCTCAATGTGTTTATTATTTCTACCGTCTGAGGAGGATTTGACAACATTCAAAACTACAAATGCAATGAATATTTGTTAAATGTTCAAAACTCTCATGGATAATCCAGACCCGTTTTGGAGTTTCATTAAGGGTAAAAAGAAATAAGGAATCACACCCATGAATATATCTGTCATTCTGAATCTGTTACGTACCTCTTTGTTAAATCCTTTGGATGTTGACAACATTTTTAATTTTTTTTTTCTAAAGTGTTTTTAACAACAAGAGGCCAAGCTTAGACTCATTACCGGTAAGTCTTTTCTGACATGTAAACAAGGATGAAAGTTAAAATACATAGTACAAAATGTTTATTTTAAAGAAATCTGTTTGTAAATACAGCCTTCTTATCAAAAGGCAATACATTTTAACCTTATGGAAACTTATAATTTAGATATTATGTGCCCTCACTGCCGGGTTTAAAGGAACAGCTGAAAAGCAGACTATTTCAGCAACTTACTGTTCAACATTCTATTGTTGTTGTTATTGCTTTTACAATTTATTTACACAACAAATAATAAACAATGTAAGATAAATTCTGAGAATTTATTAACAAGTCTGCAGATAAGGAGTGCTTATCACCTGTAGCAGTACCTCCCTTGAACCTAGTTGTTGCTGAACGTCAATCGGAAGCTTGAGCTTGTGAAGACGTCTAAACATCCTCTTCTGACTGGATACGTTGCTAGCAGGAAAGCCTGCCATCAACGGACTGATGGAGAATAGCTGATAAATATAAGCTATTGACCCCATAGTGCTAAAGAGCACTCTCGTGCTGAAAAGCTGTGGCCAACATTCCGTCTCAAACATGACTTGGACGACTGTGACAGACCTGAAACTCATTGAAAACCATAGCCTGGTCGCTCAAATGTCCGGAAGTCGGCTAGAGTTGGGAGTCACATCACTTAGGCCTAGAGTTCAACTTACTGTCTTACCCTGGGCCATATAGGGTTGATGCATACAGTCCAGCTTAACTCTAGGTATTGGAGTTGGCTTGACCGATTTGGGGTGTATAGCAGCAGACAGGCAACATTAATAATCCATGTTACATGTTATTACATGATAACATGGACTTGGACGACTGTAAATGGCGTGAAGCTCATGGAAAACCATAGCCTGGTCACTAATATGTCTGTAAGTCGGACAACAGTTGGGTGTCAGGACAGCGAGGTTATGGGAGGTCAGAATGCCCAGCTGACTGTGCTGAGAGATAGGAACAATCTTGACCCCTGCATTACTAATTGGTTGGATGCATGTCCTTTGTATGGCCGGTGATCATGATCTGCAGATAGGGGAGAGGTCTTGTGATAAGACTGTTTAGACCCCAGATTGCCTTTTGAATTAATGTTTATGTTGATAGGGAGCCAAGGGACCATAGTACATTCTATACTACATCTGCTCAGATGTGTGATTTTTAATGAGATGAAAGCAGATGAAAGGCAGACCCCCTTCTTTGCTGTGAAAACCTGCCTTATATTTCATATTAGACTTTATTATACTTTAATAACAATTTGAGGTTCTTATATACCGCTTTGTCACAACCTAGTTCGTAGGTCGTCTCAAAGCGGTTCACAAATTATTATCCGGGGTTATAGGGCCTTTGCACCCAGCCAATACCTTTCTCAACTCCCTGGGGAGCATACAGCCAGAGCTGCCATTTAGGCGCTAACAGCTAGCATTCAACAATTCTAGCACAGCCCAACCACATACTCATTTACAGCTGAGTAGACTGGAACAAGCAGAGTAAAGTATCTTGCTCAAAGATACAACACAGTGCCGTGCCATGACTCGCACCCGCAACCATTCCGTCACGAGCCTGGCATCCTACCACTAGACTACCGTGCCTTGTAACTATATCGTATCACACACATGTTGTTATCATTCTTATTATTAGACCTACGGGTCTGTTGAATTGAAAAAAAAATGTTCACCTCAAATATACAATCGCAAACTATCTAAAAGTGCCTGACCATGGTTTTGCTAAATAGCTTAAAGACATATTATCTACTCTTTATATTTAAGCCCCTGATTTTAATAGTAACAATATCAAATTGGTCATCAGTTGATATAAACTGTTCTGTATAGGTTTTTAATAGTTTTCCCTTTTGGGCCTACCCCTCAGCTACCTGGAGAGTCAGCCCCCTCCATTTGTACATTTTTGAATCTCACCACCTAGGGATGCTTTCAATCAAAGTTTGCTGAACTCCAATCAGTGGTTATTAAGAAGTTGTTTGAAGAAACAGTTGACAGACAGACAATAAAATCCACAGAATGACATACATGTAAGCTCACCTTAGTCCTTTGAACTACAGGTGCTGGCCACGCATAATGATGTGTATTATGGTACATACTATATATACACATCACAACAGTGTGCCAACACCTGTGCTTAATTTGGACTAGGTGAGCTAATATAAATAATTGTTCACTCTGTGTATAGAAAGCGTGTTGACATGCTCTTGTATACAAGCAAATATTAATTTAAGCGCCCACCAAATCTGATGAGACAATATTTCAAAGAGACTTGATGGAATTTCTGCACTATCAGATATCTCCATCCAGTCACAAAATATATTTATATATATGAAGAGGTGATACAATAGTCATTTGGATTGTGTCCTAGTCCTGAATTGAACAGTTGGCCTTTTCTAAAAATTATGTTATAAATAGTTCCACGTAATAGTCAACTGACAGGTCAGTTTGTGATTGGACAAATCGTGTAACTAACGTCAGTGAAGGCAAATTTCGTCACATTAGTAAGGGTTTCTGTTAATAATTCGACCAAATAGGCATGTATCAAAATGCCGACGAGCACCAATACAGAAGAAGATTTGACTGAAATGCCTATAAATAAACATTGTTGTAAACACGCCTGAATGACGTCATGCAGCAACATTTGTGACGTCATCAGGGCTTCCGTGGTTTTGCTCAAAGGTGCAGGCAGTTTCGCCACCTTCAAACATTTAACTAATTTACAAGTAATCTAAGTGTTTAAATGTAAAAAAAAATATGTTTATATTACACAAGCTGTATTGATACAAACAGCTCCAAATGTGTGTGTGTAACAATGATTAACATTGAAATACATGGCTTTTCTTAGTTGTGATAGTTAGTTTTCGGTAACTTGAAGAAACTGATTAATGTTGTTTAAGAAAGATGACGGGTATCGGCTGAGGTGATGTCAATTTACATGATACGCAATAAAGACTTAACAAATATAAACTTCCAAATCGCTGCCCAATATCATATTTTTCATCGGGTCAGGATGAGAAGGTCCAAGGCTTTCAACGATTGCCCCCCCTCCCCCACCGAACTTTTTGGATAATTTGTCACATGTACGTCTGCGATAGTCTTGCACGTCAACGGGAAACATCTGACAAATTAAAACAATTTTCTTAGGCTTGAATACTTATTCAACAAAGACTGCCCGGCCTGCAGGTGTTGTAAATGTACTTACTTTTTCATATAAAAATCATTCCGCTTTGGTAACTGTCGGTCTCTACGTACAATCAGCATGCGATTGTACAGCAGCACTTTCAGGGCAACAACAAATTCCTTTCAGATATAAATCTAGAAAATTTCTAGATGATATTTTAATTTAAGTGTTGTAAGATTGTTGAACGTAAGACGCAAACAATACTTTTAAACAGATACTGGTTGATTGTATTCTAAATACACATTGCATGAAAATGGAAACTGACGAATTATCAAATCGCGGATCTTTCCGATCGTCATTTCCATAAACTCGGAATGGATCGTCAGTACATCGTACATGTACCAAAGTACACTTGTAGAAAAAACCCATTTACTTGCATTAACTGCAATTAGCGTATAGATATGGGTATTTTCATGTGTATGTAATAAATTTACACTAAATAACAACCAACTGGCCTCAGATTAATGAGTTCAGTTGACGAGATGTCTGTCGCACAGACCAGATTAAGATTTGTTCTGTTACAAGATATTTCATAACTGTTTTGATTAAAAGAATAGCTTTTCCCTTCATATACCTCTTCTTGTCAAAATATTTTGGCGAATTTTGGTGCATGGCGAATTTGCCTGCACTAACTAAGGTATATTTCATACAGGCTCATGTCAGTGTATACTGGCTCATAACTTTCCTCAAAATGATAAAAATGTGGAAGTTGGTTGGTATATACCAGTGGCGGATCCAGAGACCTATCTGGGGGGGGGTTCCATGTGGGGAAAAATTGAGGAAAATGATGAAAATCCATGATTTTTAAAGAAAATTCTCATGGTGGGGGGTTTCCTGAAGCCCAAAAAACCCCTCTGGATCCGCCACTGTATACCCATGTCAGGAAAAATGTCAATAATGACCTTTGCAGAAATTATTTGCTGAAAATATTGTTGACTTTGTCTGAAAAGTAACATTTGAATGCAGAATTCTAGTGGGGCAAAATTGCAATGAATAATGGAATTGATGAAAAAAAAATCTTACCTGAACATGCATTCCTGAAGTATCCATTTATTGACTATTATCGAGAAAAATGTAAGAAAACGTGTCAAATCTCCAGAATAGTAGCATATATTTCCACTGAATAAATCACAACTGAGCATAAAGCCAACAAGGCTGCCTGAAGTTGGGAAAAAGCATGCAAAGCAAGTGTGATTTTACCTGTACACCATTCAAAACACCTTCAGGTTCTCACTCAGGCAATCTGGCTTGACTTGTATCAATAGCCTTGTTAGCTTCATGAATTATTGTAAAATATCCAATGAAAATACATGCCATCATTCTTGAGATTTGAAGTATTTTCTTACATTTTTCTCGATAATAGTCAATACACGGATACTTCAGAAATGCATGTACAGGTAAGTGTTTTCATTGCAATTTTGTTCTTATAACCAAATCGTAGTACAAAAAGTAGGAATATAAGTTAAATTACCTGCATCTTCTTGATTGCTTGCCAACCATCGTTGGTATTGTTAACCTCAATGTACTGTGTTTGCATTGGGAGTAGGAGTTGGTCAAGGATGCTGAGTTTCCCCCTGGAATATCTGATAGCTTCAAGTGTCATGCTTCCTTGTGATATATTATATTCTCAATCGCTTGCCCTTGTCCTTCCAACCGTTTTCCAATATCAGAAAAGAAGAGAACCTTATATTGTTAGCTTCTGTATTTCGTTTTTGAGAGGACCGTCTCAGCTGTCATCTCAGCTGGTACATGCAGGCCAGTGACACACGTGTTTGCCTACCCTGTGTGTTAATGCTCGCGATCGTCATGATCCGCGATCCGTCACCTCCGCCCACTTGTCTGACGGACTGCGTCGTACGAGCGTTTGTATTGAATCGGAACTGTTGAAATGGTTAGATCAGGGGAAATTTACCTATATAATAAAGACTGACCTATTGGTTTGATGTCATTTACTAACAAACCTTGAGAAACATTTTCTAGGCCTGCATATTCATGTGCAAGTCAACATTTCACCCCCTTCCCTGTAAAAATGTTAAAGAAATCAAACCGCTTCTGTTCAAGCATAGTGAAAACATTGAATTTGAAAAAATGGCGGGAGAGGTGATGGAGTTGAGAATGGAGTTACAGTCACATTTATCAAAATTTCACGATGACAGCCATCAAAACAACTTGATTAACTCATCTCAACAAGAAATCAACGCACTGCTGAAAAGACTCTTAGAATATCTTGAGAATACACATGTCAGTTTCAATCCATAGATATATATATCCTTGTGTTTAGCAGATGGCACAACGGCTCGTATAGGGTAATAATCGTGCATTTGGGTAACAATTATATATAACTGAAATGTTGAATAAAATGAAATAAAAACACACAGAGTTCTTTTAAAAACTTGAATAAAAAGGGCGTAATTCTTTCAACTAAATCCAATAAATAACACAACGACCTAGATGCATGTATTCACAAAAAATATCAATTCTGATGTCTAACTTTTAGTGAAAATGACAAACCATATCACTGATTTTGTTCTCCATTGACAAGTTAACAAGATTTTTTCTGTGTGCTACGTATACTCTACAACACACTATAAACAATATTGAGGTGATGGGATTTGTCATTTACACAAAGATTTAGACAACTGAATTAACATTTCTTTTGGCACACAATTGCATCTCATTGTATCTTTTATTGGAATATGTTGAACGAACTTTTATGTGTTTTCATTTCACTTTATTCCGCATTTCAGTAATAAAATGAGCCGTTGTGCCCAACCTGTTTAGCACGTTCATTAATCAAAGATCGATAATATCGGGTATATGTCATAATCTATCTTTGACTAATGAGCAATGAGTGCTAAACACCTTTGGTATAACTGTTTTTTATTCAGTGTGTTTGTTTAAAAAAAGCCCCTGTGGTCTGACTTTTTTCGTCCGTGCAACCACAGGGCACGGTTCAATTTATTAATTAATATCTTGGGCTTATTTAGTTATTATGTGTGGTAAACAAAAAGGCCTCAAATATAAATTGAGAAATTGAACCATGCCCCTGTGGTGCAACTGATTGGAAAGATTGTTTCAACTTGTTCTTGGCCCCACATGCTAACCATAATTAATATAAGTGCTAATATTTCCTATACAGATTGCATGTTGCCATGATATGTGATTATCGCTTTGGCCTGTTGTAACCACAGGGGCTGGACCTATTTAGGTATTTCATACAGGAGGTTCATGTCAGTGTATATAGACTAGTATATGATGGGCTCATAACTTTTCCTTAAAATGAAAAAGAAATTGAAGTTGCTTGGTAAACCCATGTCAAGAACAATGTCAATAATGACATTTGCAGAAATTGTTTTCCACAAATATTGTTGATTTTGTCTGAAAAGTAACTTTTGAATGCAGAATTTGAGTGGAAAAAAATGTTGTGTACTAGCTGGTAGGGGTCTAAACAAGAAATTGTACACTACTGTATTATTAGCTCTGCTAATAGCAAAATTTTGTTTTGTAGGATGTGGAGAAATCTTTGACTGAACTGCCCGACATTGGACAGTTTTTGGGAAGATTACTAGGAAATCTTGCTGTGCGAGGAAATAAGTTGATATATCAATCTGCAATGATGTGTGTGATGGCTTTGTATCAAGCAGATCCTTCATCACGCCTGGAACAGAAAGCTAAGGATTGGGCACTGGTACGGTGGATGACATTAATCACATTTACCATTTACTATAATTGGCTCCATAACAATTTTGAATACATGAAAATAGACTTTAACTATCTGACAGTGATCATTCTGCCCTTCCTACATATGCTGCACTTTGAGAACTCTGTCAATCATGAGATTCATTTAAATTTATGCTTTTATGTTTTTAGATTTCTGAAGTGGGGATTTAAATGGGCAAGTTAGTAAAAATCTCACTTTTTCAATTGGGAACAGGTCCTTTAAACAGACCTAAAAAGTACCCCGATCAAACCCTGCAATCAAAATAAACTTGTGTTTCTAAATTTCTCTACCGATCCTGATTTTTAGAGGCTATCCTAAAATAGAGTTCTATGATATGATCTCCTTTCTATAAGTATTCCAAACAAAATAGTTGTCCCCAGTCTTTCGTGACCAATAATTTGGACAAGTTGTTTAAGTGATAAAACAAGAATGTGCTAATGATATGGTTTGAATATTGATTTACTAAAACCTTGACGTAATAATAAATGATGAGAGGGAGTGAACTCTTTGCAAAAGTATTGGGTACTGGGACAAAATTAAGCCAAATGTATACAGCAGCTTTAACTTAGGGAACTTTAATATGTACGTAAAGATATGAAATAAAATGGTGTTCCCTGCCTGTCGATCCTAGGATTTTGGGAAGGCGGAACACACTATTTATATTAATTTTCTAAATCGTTATGAAAAAGCTTCCACAGTTCTGATACATGTTGATTGCGAGAAAATCATTCTTATTAGTCACAATGATGTGTTCACATCTTTAAAAATGATAGCACTGCTAAAAAAATATTAAATCATTCATCTGACACAGCATATAATTTTTCATTGATTATTTCATATATTAAATGGTTGACACCAAATGATATACAAGAATGCATGTACTTGTATAATAATTTGGACTTACACTAGCTGTAAGTATTGAGAAATTTGTTTAAAGTGTCATTATATATGCATGTACACTTAGAGATTTGTTATAGATCTGTGTCCCTTCATCTTGAGTTAACAAATTTGGTATGCATGTACATGTATCCCTTTGAATGACTTAGTATGTGTCATGTTCCAGAAGTAGATCTCCGACTTTTAATTTGACCTCTGACCTCATTCATTGAAACAGTTTGTTTGGAGAATATATTCTATACTTCATTTGCAATTCACCTACAGTGTTACCAAGTTTGGTATACACTTACATCTTGTAACAAGGTGGCAAGGTGTTGCATACTAAAAGTAGGTCTTTCAATATGATGTATATTTTTGCCGCTTAGTTTGCAAATACAATCATTGAAGCAGATTTGCATGGACTTAAGGTCACCATGACCTATATGTATATGTGAGATATTGTTGAAAAAGTTGTTCAGATCGCAAGTGTTGTTTTACGCAGTAATAATTCAGCCATAACATGTATAAAGATGCCTTTAGATACTTACCTTTCAGCTTACTTTCTTTACAAGTGGTTGATCCTGAGGTAAGCGTTCAGTTTGGGTTATACAAATATTTTCAGTGGGGAACTGTGAATTGCCTCGCAGTCACAATAATGTACTATGTTGGTTTGTTGAGTGATTCTTTAATTTTAGGAAAGAATGACAGGTTCTACTGATTGAACAAAATGATTTTAATTAATCTTTAATAAGCTGTGTTATCCTAATATTTTCAAGGCGCAGTTACAAAGTTCGCTGAAAAAAAAGACAAAAGATGCCTATAATATTTGTAGCCTGGGGATCTCTCATACCAAAATGACTCGGAACTACATTGGCAAGGTATAGTTTATTGTCATACATTTTGCACTTATAAAAGAAGGTATATAATTCGTTTTCTCCAATTCACTACACTACATAATATGTGCAACATAGTAATACGACCACAACTTTACTTAAGCTCCATCTTTAAACAAGATTTCTTGAGGTGTGTGATTGCACCTATCAAAGGGCCGCCTTTATCTCTCACTTATCAGTTGTACATTAGAAGGAAGGTTGCAGGAAGATTCCTCCAATACTTCTTTTTTTGGACTATAACTCAAGTGATATACACATATGCATTGTAGTTATCAACAAGAGTGTTGCCGGCCCTGAAAGAGCGTATTGGTGAAGTCCGTGTGAGATGTGTAGGGACTGGGACCCACATTCCTGGTGAGGTGTATACAGAGGCCAGGGCCACTCTACAACAAATTGTAGATGTACTGCTGTCAGTGGCGCGGTCGGATGAGTACCAGGATGTGTGGACAGACATTTTGTGGATCTTGTCTGTCCTTGGACCTGAGGAGCCTTGGATACAGAACATTTATCAGATGATCACATCACAACAGAGCCCCAGTGATGTACATGGTGTGTGTCCTAAACTGCTGTCAATGTACCCAAACATTAATCATATTGTCAAATTTGTTATGAGAAACCTATCCTTGTCTCCCATTTTCAACAAATATTCATATTTTGCAAATATTTTTAATTTTGTTTTTTGACATGCATTGTAACAAGAGTGAGTGAAACTTGATACTCCTGGACTTGGATTAAGGAGCAGTTATTTTTTTTACCAGGATAATGGTATAGGGGTAGAAATTATATCAGCCACTTGGAAAGTTTTGCAAGTGATCAAACTTCACTCACTAAATCAGAAACTCACTTGCACAACTTTTTAAAGTACTTTTCATTAAAAAGATCATGAATGGACATCAGCAAATGAAACTGAGAACAGATTATGAGAAACACAAGCAGTCAATGGATTCATTTTTTCAGAAAGGCAAAAAAATAATACTTGTAGAAATTTGCAGGTGATGGATATTTTAACTAGCATTTTCTTAAAGTTAACATCAAGCTTGCAATGGCGATCTGTCTGTATTGGATCTCTTAGGATTGTTACGAAATTATGTTTAGGTCTATTGTGAATTTTTAAAAAATCTGCTTTCCAGGCAAAGGCGGTGTTCTAACATTAAATAAGGCAGGCTATAAACTACTTTGGCGGAGTTACCTCCCCTCCTTGGAGGCCACAGTTCTTGATATTATAGACCAGACCTACAGAGTCAAGCTGCCTTCTTCAGTGAAGCAGATATTGAGGGGGCATTTTCTTGTAAGTATTGTGGAATCATTCCATTTGAAAAATAGTGAATGTGATAAAATTTAGCTAGTATCACATCACCGAGTACCCGGTTGCGGTTCGGTTACGAGTACTATCCGTTTAGCAAATCCACGCATCCGAAAACCGTCCCAAAATGTAGGTCAGTATTTATTGTTTTCCTGGGCAGAAACGTCGCTCCTGACCTGACTACTGATTGACAGACCTCGAAAACACTCATGATCAGTATACTTGCTTTACTATTGAGTGCATATAAACAATAAACTTTGAATGTAAACATAATATTGACTGACATTCTGTTGAACAATGAAGCTCATCATTAATTGGCAGCTATCGTCAGTGTTCTGACCAGAATTGATACAGTATACACAGAAATATGTGTACATAAAGTTGACAACACAAAAGAGTGAAGTGAGACTATGAAAATTTCCCTATTGGGAGGCTAGCGATATGTAACCAATTCATAATGATTTTGAGAATTTTGCAACGTTTTACAAGTGTATTCATAAGACATAAGTATTGAGTTATCTTTTTTTATTTATTTAATGAAATAAGTAATCATATTTTTATCAAAATAAAGAGCCATTGGTGGCCGTATCTCATTGCACAAGAAAACATGGTTACCTGGTTTTTGGTTTGGATAAGCGCACACGGTTATATGAGTGGCATTTTTCCTAACCGTTGCAGCCCTAGTATCACATAAATAAATATATCTAGAATGTGTTTTAATAAGTAACTTGATCAAAATGATGTTGAGAGGGATGAAATTATTTGATCGTAAAGTATAATGTGTTCATTAAGCCATGATAAATGACAGATAATCCAGTAAGTTTAGGGCAATAAAATCATGACAGATATTACAGGATGTCCTTAAATTAAGGTATTTCCAAGTTCAGCTTCTCTGTACAGCATTGTAACAGAGGTAATTATTTTTCAATGAAATGCCCCTGCTGGGGGTCGAACCCAGGACCTCTAGTTTACTAGTCTTGCACTCTAATCAAACTAGCTAAAGAGAAATTACCAAATCGATAGGAAACAGCTAGTATTTTTCTTGATGGACAGCATCTTTAAATGTATTTACTTGAAAGTGATTCATGAAACATAAATAAATAACCTTGATTGAAACTGTTTGACAGTGAGGTATACATTCCATGTTTACTAGTCTTGCACTCTTATCAAGTTAGCTAAAGAGAAATTATCCCTACCGAATCAAAAGGAAACAGTTACTATTTTACAATATGGACAGCATCTTTAAATGTGTTTACTTGAAAGTGATTCATGAAACATAGATAAATTAACTTGATTGAACCTGTTTGACAGTGAGGTAACCATTCCATGTTTGCAGCTGGAGGCTTGCAGTGAAGACCCCTCATTGTTGCTGATTGTTAGTCAAATGCTACAAGAACTGACCAGGCATGCAGGAGGAAACAGTGAACTTAACTGGGTTATAGCAGTCTTTTACCAGCTAGTGCAAGAACATGGCTTTCTGGCTGGAACTCATGTATGTATTTACAAACGTGTACAGGTCTAATAAAGACATTTTGTTACTATAGGTATCTGGCAGTAATGTCCATTTGTCCTTTTTAAGAAGCATGTTGCAGCCACTGTCGCCTACCAAAATAGAGTTCTCAACCTCTTATCCTTTCAACTAAAGCAGAAAAATAGGTTTCATGAGCATATTTTGCCCACCCTTCCCATGGACTTCAGGCTTAGTATATAGGTACATCATGAAAAAAGGTTGTGTCGCATACCAAAATCAGGTAAGAAGAGGACCTCTTCTGACCTTCGATCTCAGATGAAGTAAATAGGTTTCCTGAGCTTGTTTTGACAATTATTTCCATGGATTTCATACCTTGGGTTTGTACTAGCTGGAGATTTCACTTGTTTCAGACTGTCAAGCTACCCTAATTGTCTAGCCAATATGAACATCTTTAAATACTTGGAAATGGTAGTTGTTATTCCTTGCTTAACGTTCAGTATTAACAGTAATGGCAACAACTTTGCTGCATTATGAGACTGACTCTTCCGCATCCTTTTCAGAGCATGACTTTATCAGCTTTGTATCCAGAACATTTACAAGGGATTTCAACAGCCCTTTCAAAGTTCCCAATAGGTAAGAACATTTTAAATTTCATATTCATTATTGGTGGTTAAATTTGATATTGACAAGACTTAAGTTTTGTTAAAACATTATTGACTTGCAAAATAAAAGCAGTCAAATTATTTAAATATCTACTATACTTTTTAAAATTTGGAAAATTCCAAGTCAGTTTCATGAAGCGTTTTCTTTCAAGTGTTCGGAGGCATGGAGGAACCCTGAAGTCCAGCATGACACAGAACACATTTAGTGTCTACATACACATTAATCTTGAAACTGCAAATTTCATAAATTGTCAAGTTTTATTTTTGTACTTGTATGTACATTATTCAACTTAATATGCATACATTAAAGGTATGACAGGAGTTGGGAAAAAATAGCTTGTCGAAAATAACCTGAAGGGTTTATAATGACTCGCCTTGTTGTAGGTTCAAGTCGTCATCACTTACATGTATCAGGGCTTGAAATAAATTTCAAAACCAGTAGTCAGTAGAGTTAGTAGTTTCCTATTTCATTTGCCCCTGTGCATATTCCACTAACCCAATATTATTAGTGATGACCGGTAATATCAAATTTCGACTACTCAACTGGGCTAGCAGCTTTTAGAACTAGTCTACTAGTCCAGCTGGAGATTTTGCTCGTCTCAGACTAGTGGGCTACCCTTATTTTCTAGCTCTGTGTATGTTCATAACCTATTAAATGTCTTGTAGATGGGGATGTGGATATCTGTGCAGACAGTGTGTGTAGAATTGTGACATATCTAGAAAACCACCAACAGAGATTAGGCGGCAAGGTCACCTTACAAAATGGCATGCTGTTCCTCCGACACTGGTACCTGAGGACAATCAGAATCTGTCTTCATTGTCAAAAGAAGGTACAACAAAGCATCATGTTCAGTATGAAATGTTACGTTTGATATATATATATAAAGTGTTAAATTTATTACATTTAATGTTATATTTTGAATTATCTGAATATCCCATCCCTGTTGGGTCAGGGCTATCAAATCAGACTGCTGTGTCCAACTGTATGGTTGTATGGTGCAACTAATGACAAAATTAGAATTCACTATATAACGGGAAATTTTTGTTGTAGCTTGATTTTTGCCTTTTTCACCCTCTAGGATGAGGGTGAATTTATCATTACAGTAAATATAAGTAAACAACATATATACATAGTAATGAAATGTGAAGGGAGAAATTAACACTGGGCGAAAATTGATTTCGTACACGGAGAGCGAAAGTTTGACTGTTAGGCTGGGCGAAAATTTACGGGTAAACAGTACTTTGCTATTTGATTGATGACTACTGACCTGCTAAACCAAAACAACGTTTGACATCTTTGTTTTTCCTCATCTTTGTTGTTGAATCTTTTCGGTAGTGTCTGCAAGGGCACCTCTGGTTGTCCCATGGTCAGAATAATGGTACATCATGTTGTGACATACTCATGTGTTGATGTTGTGGCATTTTTTACTGTTTTGTCGGTTAATAGATAGGAACATCACATTGATGTGAAAGACAAACATACTCCACTAGAATCAAATAATCAAACAATCATACGAGGACCCATTTACCAGCAGGGTAGTTTGTTTGTGACATAGAAATGGACCAAGTTTTCACATGAGTCTCGACAAATACCTTTAAAACCTGTATTAGCCTTGAATGTCCAATAGTGTTATAACAGAAAATTGAAAACTTTGACCAGGTTTGTTTTGTTGCAGTTCTTGGACGGATGCTCTTCTTTGCTGTCTTGGATATTGGAACCAACTAATAGGGAAAGTCAAAAGGAAATAAAAGTACGATATTTTTATATTTACTCCACACGTTATGTTTATTTTTACCCTTCACAATGGAATGAAATGCAAAGTTTAAGCCTAATTAAGGAAAACATTATCTTAGATACATACTTATATTTTCTGCGCCCTTGGAATTTGTCATGACAAAATAGAAAACCGTGAAAATTGTTCATTGCAGTTATGCTAATGCACAGTCCCTTTTATCTTATGTCAAAGATAACACCGGTATGCAGGATTTTGTAAGCGTTTTTAAAGGTTTCTAGACTAGTCCATCCACGATATCCAGGGGTTACGCTCACTTCAGCTCTTTGCACCACTGGAATATGCAAAAATCGAAGGTTCGGTGTGCCCACCTTGTGGATGAGACAAAAGGACTAGTTTGATCCTTTGATCAAAAGATCAATCAGGCGGTCACGTAACAGTAAAACTTGATGGCTTTGAAGTCGGCGACGCTCCTCTATAATCTTCAAAGGACAGGTATCGGCCTACTGATTGGTCAGTTTTTTTTTTACCTGAGACCAATCAAATAGCTAAAAACATGTCTTTGATTTTGCTATGACATATTCCAGGGGTGCAGAGAGCGAAAGTGAGCGTAACCCCTGGATATCGAGAATAAGACTAGTCTATCTCCCTATCATCCTATGGTGATATGTACAGAGCCTTAAATTTTGTTGTGACATATTCCGTTGCAAACATTTGTATATTGAGAATAGAACTATTGGATTTGGAAGATTTGGAAAACTCTAGATCGGTGAATATGGCGACATGGTTTAACTGGAAATCATTAAGACTTAACCATATCTTTTCTTTAAGGTGAAATTGCACAACTGTATTCAGGCTCTGCGATCACTGATGAGTAAAGTCAGCCTGGAGGTCACAGATGTTTTATATGTGATACAGAGAGAGCATAACACATCTGATGTAACGAGGACAGCGATTGGTCATCTAGTGATGATGTTTCTCTTCAAGGCCACGGCTGGAATGCATGTCTTCAGGAACGTTCTACCAAAGGTAAAATTAGATTTGAAGATGACCTCTGTCTGAAATGTTCTTTCTGTATTGTTATAGATGAGAGTGGAGGTCTAAAAGGATCCCTGTTGCACTGCTGGCAGAACACTAGAGATCCCACTGGCCGTTCGTGTATACAGTAACCTCCCCTTAATTTCATTTTGAATATAACTAGTGTATTTGGGCCAGGACACTTCTGATGACGATCTAGCACAGTTAGTAAGAGCAACAGTATTAGACTATATTGGTAGAAAGCACAGTATAAACACAGTAATTTGTGAACTCTGCTACAGGTTGGGTAGGTAGGTAGGTAAATGATTTTATTTTTCAAACTTTTGTTATAAGGTTTATATAGGACAGTCATCTTGACTTTTACAGAGCTTTCTTGAAAATTGCCACAAAAAGTTTTTAGGGAAGGCACACAAAATTAGGGTAGGTAGATTAACTGGAAACCAGAAACATTTTTATTTGGCCTAAATTTCATTTTGTTGTGAAACTGGATATGAAAGCCACATGTCATGTATCCTGTCATTGCTCTATGGATTTTATTTCCGAACAGATTTTGATCAAACGTAATGCAAAGGTCAAGTATGAGAATATTTGGAATGAAGTCTTGTTTCAGAGTTCAAAGGGCAATGCCAAGGTCACTCTTGCTAAAAACAAATATTGTTGACTAATTCAGTGACATCACTCCAACAACTTCATTTGTTAACATATTTTGATCAAACTTAATACAAAGGTCAGCTATGAAAATACTTCAAATGCATCTGTGTGTCAGGAACCTTGGTCAAGGTCATCAGTACTATTTATGGAAATTAGTCCAAAAATGGCATTTACTTGCATGGGAGTTGGCCATAGGTAGCCTTTGAACTATTTTAAATGCACACTAATATTTTTCTCTTGCAGGTGTCTCTGGCAGAGACTCCGTTTGATAACCTGGTATACATGTTAATGGCCCAAGAGGAGCTGGAGGTTAGGTTTGAAGACTGGTCACCGTGCCAACTGAAACAGTACTGTAATATAGTACAGGGGTACTTACAACAGGCATCTTGTGACAATCTGAACAGTCCAGAAATCTTCATGTCTACAACAATTTTTTTACAAAAATACAACACAAAGTTTCCATGAATATTGTGGAATTTCACTAATGTTTACATTCAAATGAGTGATATTCTTGTACAATTTGGACCCGTGACTGTGAGAAATGTGTCAAAGACTAGTGCCCAGAGAACAATGGTCTAGGGATCGATCCTGAGACAGTGTGGAAAAATTCAGCTACCTGGTACAAGGGCCTAGAATATACTTACATGTTACGGTAAGTGTTCTTATCATGGACTATTTTGAAAACTCGAAAAGGTTCCAAACTAATGGTATCATCGCATTATACTTCTATGGCATTTTAGAAACATTCCGTGTTGATAAGATAAAGATTTACCACAAAAATTCTGATGGTGTTTTAAAGATTTGTATATGAAATTTCCCCTCATGATAAGTGATTTTTGAAAGTTTTTGTCTTGCCACCACGAAGTGCAAGCGAGACCTAGGTGTTGCTTTTCCGGGACAGCGTCAACATTAAGTTTTTGCATTTAAGTTAAATTCTCTGAAAGTATAAGTGCTACACCAACCAAACTTGGGCCATAGATGCATCTTAGGTAGTACATTTCAACCTATGTTTAAAATGCTGGATGTGGCCTACCTTTCATGGTCCATTGACTTTGTCAGCATCTCCATCAACATTAAGTTTTTGCGTTTAAGTTAGTTTCTCTGATATGTGCATTGATGGTCAAAGTGGGGCAAAGGAGAGACATATCAATCCGAATGGCTTGTTGATTTCTAGATCACTAATTAATGTGCATTTGTCTTTTGTCTTTTCAATTGTGATTGTTGTCTGTTTGGGGTGAAAAGATGAATGAGCAAGATTTATGTGAACTATTAAATCTCATATTTTCGAGGGGAAAAGACAAAACTACAAGAATTAAAAGGTGTATATTCTTGTCTTTTTGGGACAAACAATGAAAAGAAACCAGCCATGGTTCTTTTCAGGGTTGGGTATCGCAGAATTTTCATATAATTATAAATTATAAACTTTATTTATTTTACAATAATTATGAAAAAAGATATATCAACTAATATTATTTTCTTGTATCACAGAAATTCTAAAATGCCAAAAGCTGATGTGCCCAAATTTAACTACCACATCTAGTGAAAAAAGTTGCCAAATTTTGTTGATGCCAAAATATCCAAAAGTGTGGTATACCTGTAAAAATTAATTACGACCCCTCATCAGAGACACAGGTGCCCTATAGTAATCACTATATCTGTCTGTCCGTCCACACTTTTGTTTTTGAAGATTATTTCGGAATCCAAAAGTCGAATTTTACTGAAATTAGATAAATGGTAGTACATTGTGATATATGTAGATGTGCAATTTGGGTTTAAAGAGTTTCTATTGTCATGGTCAAGGTCATGGTTACTAAAAAAAAATACCAGGTAAATCATGTGGCATACAGTCCTTTAATATCTCAAGACTGATGAATTTAAAATTTGATTTGGTAAATTGGTGATATGCTGGGATATATGGATGTGCAGTAGGTATACTAAAAATAGTCTAGAAGGGTTACAGACCTCATCTCGGAATCCGAAAGACTAAAAAAATAATCTTTTTTAAATTGGCATGATGATACACTGTGATATTTAGATGTGCAATTGGAGTTTTAAAAATGTCAAGTCAAGGTTACGATGGCTAAAAATAGAACATTGGGGGTGGGGGGTACAGTCAGGCAGTATGCAGGACCATTGCTGACCTGTCAGTGTTCTAGTTTACTCGCATGATTGCATTTTGTAAATGCTGAAACTGTATTATATTGATTGTGTGTATTCTGCCAAAGATCATGGTTGCCTCCTTGGATTATTTAAAATGCAAATTAAACTAGCAAGCAAATAAAATCTTGTTAAGTTAAAAGGTATAAAGGACTGAGATTGAATGTTGTAGGAAACCTAGGATTTAGCACATGTTACCCCAGGTGGTCAGGGACAAGATTAAAACCAAGGGGATTGAAGGGGCTATTTAGTCAAATAACACCCTTAAAATTGATTAGATACATATCTGCTAACCAAAGTTTACGTAGTTGATAAGTTTCTTTTTAGAAAGCCTGTGAAAGATATAGCTCCGACCACAATAGTGCAATATCCGGGCCTTTCAGTGAGGAGTATAAACATGTACAGTACAACGCTGTCACACAGTGTCAGTGAGTCTGTTTTGTTAACAGTTGGGTTCGAATAAAAAGAAATAGGTTTAATTAAAGTATGCATGTACTGAGAGGGAACCTTTTGTTAACAGTTGGGTTCGAATAAAAAGAAATAGGTTTAATTAAAGTATGCATGTACTGAGAGGGTACCGCAGGGAGAATTTCACACCTCACGAAGTATAATATCAGTACAGTGTAGTAAAAAAAACCAAAAAAACCAAAATAACTTATTCAAGTGATAATTTAGATGTTGTTTGGAAGATGCTTTTGATCCAGAATAAATGCTGGTACTAACGTGAGAATTAACATACTCTCCTCAGCTGGTTAGAAGTTCACGGACAGCTACCGCTAAAACGTATGGTTGTACAGTTAAGGATTTCTTTTTTACAGATAAAGAACGTCACGAAAACATCGTCTCTTGTACATTTCTCAAATTGCTAAATTGTGTCATATAATGTGTTTACAATATGCTATGTAACTTGAGCTAAAATCTGTGGTGTACTTTTACACATGGAGGTGTGCTTAGAGTGTGTAAGTAAAGGTTAATTGAGTTTCAGTTTTAATCAGGAACCATTGGAGGCACGGTAGTCTAGTGGTAGGACGACGGGCTCATGACGGAAGGGTTGCGGGTTCGAGTCACTGCAAGGCACTGTGTTGTATCTTTGAGCAAGATACTTCATTCCGCTTCTTCCAGTCAACTAAGCTGTAAATGAGTACGTGGTTGGGCAGTGCTAGAATTGTTGAATGCTAGCTGTTAGCGCCGAAATGGCAGCTCCGGCTGTATGCTCCCCAGAGAGTTGAGAAAGATATTGGCTGGTTGCAAAGGCCCTATACCCACAGATAATAATTTGTGAACAGCTTTGAGACGACCTACGAACTAGGTTGTGATAAAGCGGTATATAAGAACCTCAAATTATTATTATTATTATTATTATTATTATTGGCACTTTCTCTAAACGAGTCTTTAAGAATATTTAGAGACATTTCGCTAATAGCTAATAGCTGATGACCGGTGTCCAGTTTTCTCGGCCAGCAGCATAGAGTTGCGTGACAGCTGTTGCAGAAAGAGAATGCTTGTTGACTTGTAGAAACCTGTAAATTTGGCAGCAGCAGAGTCGTGCCTTAGTCTGCTGTATAGTTGGTGCACACCAACAGGGGAGTCTGAGTACCAGCAGTCCACTAAGGGGGACTTCCACGGTCTCAGATAAAGTGTTTCACACTTCCCATTATTAGGTCTGTGACAATGATAAGAATATGAATCAAGTTAGGGCGTTGTTTATACACACAATATTCTGTCACATTAACATAAGTCTAGGATTTACATTTTGCATTTGCATATCGCCAGCGTTAGTCTTCGAGACATTCTCCTCGTATTCCAAATAGGTCTTGCCATCATGTTCTTTTGCCTTTATTTGACTCAACACTCCACATCGCAAGTTCCTTTGTTCTCCTCCTGCCCTGACGGCGAAATTCAATCCATATCGAAATAAAAGTGTGTCCTAAAGTTTTTGAGGTGTGCCTGTCCCTAGAATATCATTTTTCCACAGATAGTCTTCCAGCTCTTCACTTATTATTTGGGCTTGCTTTTTGTGAATTACAAGACCTTGTTGTGACAAGGTTTTCGTCGTGAAGCCTTGACATTGTGAAGTCTCGAATAGTCACTGTTATCGAGAAAGTTCACAAACGACTGTTGGTGCGAAAGTGGTGTGGAGTGGTAATTATCGGTTCATAAATAGTCTTGGGTCTATATTCACCTCCATCTTTATTCCTTACCTCCATCACAAAGTAGCTGATGGCATTGTTAAGGTCCTGCGGAGAAAGTTCCAACACACTGTTGCCAAAATTATTTATTCCAATGTTGGCTTCACTATAAAAAAAAATCTGTTTCAGCCAATTTTGAATATATTGACACACCCTTTTTTTTTTTTGCACAACCCCCTCCTTCAGAGTATTGTCAAGGTCACCGTTTTGAAGCGTTGCAGCAAATCTAGATGACTGCTGGTTTACTTCTTTTTCTCGCTCCTTTTCTTGCAGCTCAGCCAACTCTCTTACCTGGGAAATGATCTACATCTCATTTTCAAATATGTTGGAGAAATATCACTTTTCAATGTAAAATCAGTAAGTTTATATCCCTGTTCGTCTTCCAAGGCCTAAGCAACTCTTAAAACACTGTCTTTCGATTCTGTCCGAAGGACCATGGTGAGCTTATGCCCTTCCTCGGCGTCCGCCATCTGTCCATCCGTCAAATTTTCCTTTAAAACGCTTCTAGTCATGAACAGCTTTATGGATTTTGACTAAATTAGGCCTGGAGCATCCTTTGGCAAATGGGAGGTAATTTTGTATAAACGGAGGGTGTGGCTCCTTTTGGTGCAGAGGGGCAAGGCCAATAGTTGAATTGGAGGTTAAATCTGTAAAATCCTTCTTCTGTACGAGTGGAAGGATTTTATCCAAATTTGGCCTGCCAGGAGCATCCTTGGGCAAAGGAGACTTAATTTTGTATAAACAGTGGGTGTGGCCTCTTTGGGTGCAGAGGGTTGGCAATAGGTAGGAGAGAGGGCGAATCTCGGTTCTAATGTGCCTCGATAATTGCCGTCTCATCTCCATAACCTACATACTTAGCTTTTGAGCTCACAAATATAACTTTAATATTTGAAGTACAACACTTGTGACAACTGTATAGATTCATAGATACACGCCTGGCTCATAAATATAACTTTAATATTTGAAGTACAACACTTGTGACAACTGTATAGATTCATAGATACACACCTGGCAAAATCTTCAAAAGACATTTTTTGGCAGGTTTAATTGATATAAGAGTGCTACAGGCCGGAAGTTTACAAGATAGCCAAACCAGTGAAGGGGGTGGTAACACCCCTTGATTTTTTGACCCCAAATAAATCCGATATCGGGGCCCTTGCTTACCTGTAGTGTTCTAGTATAAACAGGTCACGATTCTGAGTTAATTACAGCTCCTCTCCATTGACCATAGTTCTCAAATAAATTACATGTTAAAATTAATTTAGACTTCGACGATGACATAGTATGATGCATTCCATACCAGCTACATGTAATATCATTATCCCTAAAGAGCTCTGTAAATCTGTGTGGAAAAAACGTTGAACTTAAGTGAGCAAAAATTACAGTGTTTAATGTGCTTTAAACTTCAATCACATGATTTTGAGAGAAAAAAAACTTGTTCTGTACAATTATGGTAGACAAGCTTATTGTTACAAGTTTGTAGGGCACAGTTAATAGATTTAAATGAAGACTTTCCAATCTTATATAATTATAGGTGTAAGGAAATGGTTCTCTGGTCCGGAACCTTCCATCAGGTTTGTCATCAATTAAATGCTGAATGGAGTGTGTGCCTCCATTTTTACAAGAATTCATTGTGTGGTTTTCATACAATAGGGAATATACTCTTAACTTGCTAAAAAAAAATCCCTCAGTTTTGATGAAACTGATTCATGTTCAGTAACCAAAGGTAAAGGCTTATAAATATAAAATTGATCCAAATCTGTGTATAATTTGTAAACATTCTATATATGCTCTGATTGGTTGAAAGTTTCTGCAAAACAACTTAATAAAATATTCATACAATACCAAGGTGGGGTTGGAATTTCAGCAAAATTCTCCTGTAATAAAATAGCACACATGAAATAAATCTTATTTTGGTTACAATATGCAATATTATGATCATAGGAAAGTAGGTTAAGGATATTCTAATACAGTCTATGTTTATGTATGGTTTAAATGTTTGTTTACCAGAAATGCTTGAACGGAATGCTGATTTACTGTGATACAATTGTAACAATATACTTTATTGAACTTGTAATCAATTTGCTTTCCTAAATTCAGAGTACAGTTTTTATACGCCTGTCAAATTTGACGGGAGTATTATGGGATGGCGTTGTCCGGCCGTCCAGCGTAAACTTCTGTTTGTCTGGCAATCTCCTCCTACATTTTTAGACCAATCTCTTTTAAACTTGGTATACATTATAATCAAGATATGAAGTTGTGTCTCCCTTGAAAGAATTTTGATTCAACAATTTTTCCAAAAGTTATTGCCCTTTGTTCATTTCAGTATTTGATTTTTGTCTGGCAATCTCCTCCTACATTTTTCAACGGAACTCTTTGAAACTTGGTATACATTATAATCATGATATGAAGTTGTGTATCCCTTAAAAGGATTTAGATTCGACAATTTTTCCAAAAGTTATTGCCCTTTGTTCATTTCAGTATTTGATTTTTTTATCCAGATATTTTCTCCTACATTTTTATAGCATGTCAGCTAACCACTCTTTGAATGATGCAGATCTTATTTCAATGTAAGAAAGTATATAACACTATATGTCATTCGACGGGCGTATATTGTTCCGCCCTGCGGTACTCTTGTTTGTATTGCCGCCACAAAGAGGATACACTCGAACAATACAAGTTACTTTCTGAATCACGCAAACAAATCACTTTTCTTATACAAGAGACTTAGGTGTTGCTTTTCCGGCATTGACGTCGGAAACATTGTTGCTTTTCCGGCATTGACGTCGGAAACATTGAGTTTTTGCGTTTAAGTTAGTTTCACTGAAAGTATAAGTGCTATACCAACCAAACTTGGACCATTTACTTTGTCAGCTTCTCCATCAAAATGAAGTTTTTACTTTAAGTAAGTTTCTTTGATATATGCATTGATGGTCAACGCGGGGCATAGGCGAGACATATCAATTCAAATGGCTTGTCTATGAAATGTGCTTGACTTTTATATAATGCTACTTAATTCTTGTTTGCAGAGTGATCTCAAAATAAAATTTTAATCCGATCTTAATTTACTCAATAATTGTTTGTGCTTTTAAAGAAAGACTTAAAACTCACAGAATTTTTAGCTCGCCTATTCGAAGAATAGGGGGGCTAATGTAGACACCCCGGCGTTGGAGTCCCACCTTCGGAGGTTCAAGTTTTTGGGCAATTTTTTTCCAGACAGTGTCAGACATCACACTCAATACACAGTTGCCTATTATGAGTTTAAGTCATTTATATCATGTGTAAGCAATGTGCTGGACCATATTTTTGTATTTTAAGGGCCAAAACAGCTTAATTTGAGGTTAAAGATTTTGGGCATGTTTTTTTGTGAAGTGTTGGACAACCACCATCAATAGGCTGTTGTCTATTATAAGGTTGAAGCATTTATATTGAGTGTTGTACGTGTAAGGTGTAATGGCACTATATCAACGTTTACTATACCTGTGTTTCTATTGATAGTTGCAGTATATAATATAATAACATGCATAGGCGAGCTATTCTGTTCTCCAACAGCTCTTGTTTGGTTTTTTTGTGTGTGGGGGGCAAGAACTTAGGTAGGATAATAAATCTTTTGGGGTATATAATTAGTTGCATGTACACAGGAGCCATTCAAATGGCGTCATGATTGTTCATCCGGATAGATATTTTATGGGGGTGAAATTTGTATAGGACACCAGATCAAAGCATTTCCGGTTCATGTGCACACCTATGGATTTGTCGTGTGTGAAACAAAAAGTGGTTGTGGATTATAATGCATCATGCTGCTTTGTCAACAATAAGAATATCAAAAAGACAAGTGAAACATGCATACCGTATGTTGATTTACAGGTAAATTAAATTTCAGTGCCTGATTGTTGGTAAATTTTTAAAAAGATCCATTACGGTATAGTAGAATACAGCTTCACAGGTCTTATAATTGTAGCCGACTTTAAAATTATATACTCCATTGTAAACCTCGTTTACCATGTTGATAAAAACTCCTTACACGTACAACGCTTCATTTACCAGTGCAGCACTGCTTTGTCATAGGTGGAAGCCTTTTAACAGGGACCTATAGGAGGGGGGGCGGGGGCTAGTGTACGCAGTCACCCTGGCATCGGCATCACACTTCACTCAGGTTAAAGTTTTTGGGCAAGTTTTTCCCAGACAGTGTTGGATCATCACATTCAATACACTGTTGTGTATTATAAGGTTTGAGTGTTCATATGGAGTGTTAGCAATGTTCTGGACAATATTTTCATATTTTATGGCCCAAAAACAGCTTAATTGGACTTGGTTAAATTTGAGGTTAAAGATTTTGGGCATGTTTTTTTGTGAAATGTTGGACAACTACCATCAATAGGCTGTTGTCTATTATAAGGTTGAAGCATTTATATGGAGTGTTAGCAATGTTCTGGAAAATATTTTCATATGTTATGGCCCAAAAACAGCTTATATTATTATTGGACTTAGTTAAATTTGAGGTTAAAGTTTTTGGGCAAGTTTTGTGTATTATAATGTTGGAGTATTTATATGGAGTGTTAGCAATGTGCTGAACCATATTTTCGGGGTCAAAACTGGTGAATTGGACTTGGGTAAAGTTTTCGGGCAAGTTTTTATGTGCAGTGTTTGATTGGTCACCACCATCAATATGCTCTTTCAATACTCTTTCACGTTGTCTGGTCATCTCTTCTTTTGAAATACGCAACTCTTTCTAAACGGTTACTTGGAGTGACAATAAAGTTAGTTTGAAATATCATAATAGCATAAGTTGATAATAATTTGTATAAATGATTTAGATGGGACCCCCAAGGCTAGAACATTCCAGTAGAGGAATATTGGGTGTTCAGCGGTAATTTTGACCCTTTTTCAAGGTCAACAGGTTCATATGTGTTAAAATCTGTTGAAATCTTAATAGTCATTGAAGGATCAAAATATTTGTCTTTAGCTTTTTTGGATAACGTTTGTTCCAATGAAAAACGGAAACCTTGGCAAACCTTGTGCCACTGGAGTAAAATTAGCTAATATCTCATAATGAAAATATATCAGGGAGATAATGATATTTGGCCTGTAATGTTGGATTGCTTAAATTGCTATCAAGTTTGTTTATATAAATTTGACCTTGAACCACTGTGAAAGTCATGAATGTGTGATGTGTTAATTACCATAGCAGAAATTACAGGTGAACAATACAGGTCCATTTGGCCTCTTTATATTTTTTTGTTAGCAAAACGTTATAATTTCTGTACTTTCTATTTATTACAGGCTACCTAAACCTCGACCCTGTACGTAATGCAACACCTATTATCCAAAAGTGTGAGGGAGGAGGTTACTCGGCCTGAATCAAAATGGCAGGTCAAGGCATATAATTCTGGCTTGTATTCCAGATTTCTGAAATCTGATGAAAATCGAGGACTCCGAAGTGACCATATTGACCATGTCATTAAAATTATGCCACAATCATCGCTAAACCTAAAATGTCCTGTACCAGCAGAAGTAGAAGAAACTTCAGCCGTGATTCTGATAGAAAGTGCAAAAGATTTAGGGAGAAATGATAACATTGGCCATGCCTTATTGGTAACGGTTCACAAGAGAGCACCGGAAGACTACTACGTGGAGTTGTTTGACAGTACGAACAAACAAATTTCAAGTGCTATTAAGCAACAATTAGTCAATTTATTACCTGCCAACAGCCAAGTCTGTGTGCACCATGTTCCAGTACAGGACCAGGGACAAACATTTGACTGTGGTTACTTCGCTCTAGCGTTTATGGCTCATTTGTGTCTAGGCTTGCGACAGGAACTAGATACCGTTGTTTTTGATGCATCTGAACTGCGCATACATCTGGAACAATGCTGCAAAAAACAACTTGTAACCGAATTCCCAACACTCAAAGATGACAAAAAATCAAAATTAAGAGATGATGGGAGAACATCAATCCCGGATCATAGAATTATTGTAAGGGAATGTTAAAAATCTTCGGCAGTATGTTTCAGGGAGGTAGCATTATAAAGATGGCATCAGTTCTGCGCTATCACAAGGAGACAAACACAAACATATCACAGCCTCCCAAAACACACACGCATACACTACACGCATGCATCTTGCACACAGGGGAGGCCGTCCTTAAATGACCATAGCTGTTGACAGGACGTTAAACAATACTAAACCAAACCAAACCAAACCTATTTTATGGTGCTAAATAACGACATTTCCTTGTTAAAGGTCCCCACCCCCACCCTCAAACAACCACCTTTCCCCAATTGAACTGTAGCCAAAAAGGAAATGTTTTTAAAATGAGGATTTATAGACACTCGACACATTTGATTACAAACTAAACTTTAAAAATTCAATTCCATTCAGTCATACTTTGTTTTACTTTCCCATCGATATTTTTTAGCTCACCTAGTCCAAAGGACCATGGTAAGCTACTGCCTTTGTGCAGCATCTGTCCATCAACTCAATCAACTTTTTCTTTTAAAATTCAAATATGAGGTGAGCTGTTAAGGCCCCTGGGCCTCTTGTTATGCCCTCCCCCCATACAATTTGAGTGCATATAGTGTGCCCCGGCCCCCATTCAGTCTGATTGTTTGACAATATTAAATGCATACTTATAACTTCCATACATCTAGTCTTTCTTCATCAAATTTTGTTAATCTTTAATTATTTATGAATTGTTTATATTCTGTTGATTTTTTTCTAGTCTTCTAGAGTTCAGGCCTTGAAAATGTGTTTTTATGACGAATCTAGAGGCATTCATTTTACTCAACCGGGTCCTTGTATTCTGAGTATTTGCAAATGGCGTAAGATTTTAGGCTGTATTTTTACTGGAACTCGCCCTGAAAAGCATCAAATTTCATAGTAAAATTCCTGTATGAACCCTGTTATATCCATTGTTAAAGGTTTATTTATTGAAATTGCTAATGGCATGCATATAGGTGTAGGGCTTTATTATAATAATTACCATAGTATATTCTTTCTGCCAAAAAATTGTTCAGTTCTTTTATGGTTCATGAGTGTTTTTTATCTCTTGCCCCAATTCAGCATTTCTATTATACAGTTATCATGGTGCAATTTATATTCAAAATACCTGTTCATCAGAAATTGTACTTGTTGTTGGCCAATAGATCTGTTACCATTTGTTATTGATTTGTTTCAAGAATATTTGATGTTGTTCAAGATCAAAATACAAACTGTATCGGGTAGTGCTAAGAATATAATATTATGTGACAATGTAGTTGATAATTGGTTTTATTGATTTTTTTTAAATTAATATTACTGAAACAAAAACATCTTTATGTTTTACTATATCAGGTTATTACCAATAATTATGTACTTACAGAGTGTTCTGCATGAATTTGTTCAAAAACGAAATTCAGCGTCTTTCTTTCCATATTGTCATATGGGGTAATTTTAAATCTCAATACTTGTTTTAACTATGTATCATTAATTCAACACAACAGTTTTTGTGTCGCCTGCAATGCGAGGCGACATATAGGTATTACTTTGTCGGGGCGTCCTCCGAAACAAGTTCCCCCTTTCATTGATTGAACTCAAACTTGGTACACATATTGCATACCAATATAGCTCGGACAAGTTCGCATTTCAGAAGTTCACGTGCATTTTTGGTGGAGTTATGCCCCTTTAATTGCCAAATAAGGGCATTGTGTAGTAAATGCAAGAACTTTTTTATTTTTTAATAAATTCCTTTCAAATTTTGTACGGTAATGCTAGAGGCAATAATGTATATATTATGGGGTTTTCTGTTGAGTTTCAATTTTCCGCGTTTTGGCATATCTGTTTTCACAATAACTCAATTGTATGTAGGGTATACTATGTTTACATATTTTAACCTATTGAAATTTTCATAATTTTAGAAACCTCTTTTCTGGTCACATGAAATTCAGGAATTTTTAGTGACCATTCTTGTGTCATTGTTCTAGAATTTTACGAGACTCTTTCACTTGTTACAATAACCATGAAGTAAGCATGACAGAAAACCAGAAAAAGCAATGTATGTCAATAACATTTTGAAGGATTTTATATGGGGTAAATATAGAAATGTATTTTGATTAATACAAATTTAAAAAAATAGTTTCTGTTGATGGCCTCATTATTTCTACCTCTTCGAAAGCAATGAATTTAACGTTTTATAGCAGTATAAATGTGATCACTTATTGTTGTAGTTATTTTTTTTATATTTTTATAATGATACATACCATTCAACATGTTTGTCTATGCAATTCATATATCAAAATGTCGCAAAAAATATATTGAAAACACTTAACACATGTCCTGTGGTGTGGTTTATATTATGCTCTGCTGATCAGAAGTTGGTGTTCTTTGTGATATTCATGTCCCACATTGTGAAGTTTTCAATGTGGATAGTGTCTGTATGGTCAGTTTGTCATTTGATGTTACCTGAACTCTTTCTGAAAGTCATCCAGGTTTTATTTATGTATTTCTGTTATTGTTCATCAAAAGGTTTATGAGAGTTAATGGCTTTGTTTCGCAATAATAAAATGACAAGAGGCCCATGGGCCTAAACGGTCACCTGAGTCTACAGTATTTATTTTTAGGTCACCTGAGCTTTAGCTCAAGTGACCTATTGCTATCCGTTTTCGTCCGTCGTCGTCCGTCGTCCGTCGTCCGTCGTACGTCGTCCGTCGTCCGTCGTCCGTCGTCCGTCGTCCGTTAACATTTTACATTTCAAACTTAAAGTCAAGTTCTGCTGGGCCGATTGAACTGAAAGTTGATAGGAATGATCGCCTCATGGTCCTGACAAAGTGTTGTTATTTTTCGGGTCGATCAGAAATCCAATATGGCCGCCACGGCCGCCATTTTGAAAACCTATTTCAAACTTAAAGTCAAGTTCTGCTGGACCGATTGAACTGAAAGTTGGTAGGAATGATCGCCTCATGGTCCTGACAAAGTGTTGTTATTTTTCGGGTCGATCAGAAATCCAATATGGCCGCCACGGCCGCCATTTTGAAAACCTATTTCAAACTTAAAGTCAAGTTCTGCTGGACCGATTGAACTGAAAGTTGGTAGGAATGATCGCCTCATGGTCCTGACAAAGTGTTGTTATTTTT